GAAGTGGATTTGTAACAAAGCATATAAGATCGATAAAGATGACAAGAGAAGACGTACTTGCATGTTATTGTATCTATTGAAGGTTTTGCTGCAAATAGAGCATGCAAATTGCATTGGACCGACGTGAATCTGAGCGGGACTTGGAACCCAGAACCTCTTTCCACAGACTCCCATATCATAATCAGTCATCTCCTCATCAACAAACTTCATGTTCCTCCTCTTCTTCATCATCACCACACCATCTTCTATGATCTCTCTCTTGATGGGTTTCTTCTGATAATCGGAAGTTGTGTCAGAGTCATCCTCCGCCGAGTTACCACGGTGATAGTTAGGCAATCCGATTTGGAGAGTAACCACATCATCATCCTTCTCTTCCTTGATATCAGCCAAGGCTTGACTTTTATTTTCCGTGAGCTTGTTTAGAAGAGGCAAGCATTGAATAGACGTGGTGTTTGTGTTGAGTAGCTCTTGTGGTTGGTATAAGAAAAGAGATTGCTCCAACATGTTCATCTGACTCTGGCGATGATTAGATCTTGACATAACATCTTTTGTCTTCATACGTAATAAGACAGGAGTAGAAGATGGAGGCTTAAGCCATTCAATGAAGCTTGGAGATTCAAAACTTAAACCCTTGTCATGTGGATTCATCAAACTCATCTCTCTCCCTCTCTCTCTCTCCTCTCTCTCTCTCTCTCCAAAAAAATGGGTTAGATTTAGTAGGAAAAGGTTATAAATCAACCTTCCTGATGTGTATAGATTCGTCAAAATAGGTCATTTCCCTTTTTTTCTCCAATTCAAATACTTCTTTTGTAAAGTTTTGTTTTTTCGTCCTACCCCAACACGTATGTATGTAGTTAAGTCGACGTTCGCACGTGTCTACGCGTTTACACTCACGGGAAAAAGAGTGTAGTTTTCTTCATAAAAATGGTGGTGGGTCTTACTTCACATAGTGCTAAAGGAAACGCACAAACACAAGGCTTTTCAATGAAAGAGAATCCTAAGACTCAGAGCTATTCATTGAGCCATTTTTTTCTTCTTTACCCGCTTTTCCTTTCCCATTATTATATACTACAGTATGTAACATCTTAAACCAACAAATACGATATCCTTTCATCATATTATAGTCATAATTATCTATAAGTGCATATAGACCGGCGAAGACAAAATCCATCATTACATAAAACCAACAATTTCAACATCATTTTAGCCGTCTTTTTAGGGACAAATGATAAAAGCTTTTACTATACAATCACGCGTTCTCTTTTATTGACGTTTGTTAATTCAAGTAGGAGATTACACGAATTATTTGATTATTTATTCTACTAATTTTCATACGGTACTAGAGTTTTCTGTGACTCAATCCATGATTTACATTGAATTTAAAGATATTAAGAGAATGAGGTAGTGGAGTTTGAAAAAGAGAACAAAAGGAAAGAGCGGGAGGATCTTCACCACAAGCAGTTTAGTCAACACCTGAAGGAATAAAATACTCAAAATGACATATTAATTAACTAATCTGAAGTACAGTCGTCATGAAGTCGAAACTACAAGCTTATTCAATGTATCTCTCAATTATAGCGGGGTATTTTGGTCCATTTTGTTTTGTCATCATGTACGTTTTGTAAAATGTACACCAACCATCCAAAACAATTTTATGGCCCATTAAACTACTGAGTATTTTAGAAACCGGTACGTTTGACCTTAAACCGAAACCTGCCGAATACCGGGCTCAGTTGAAAAACCCTTTCTCTCGTCTTCTCCGGTAGTTACCTTTTGTAAAGTACGGTGTCCGCTTTCCCGCGCCGACCAATGCAAGGGAATCGCGGCGGCTCGTGGTCCACAGGCGCCTCCGCGAATGGTGGAAGCGGAAACGGAAACCGAAACGCTGGATATCTTCCTCAACCAACTCGTGTTTTTTCCAATTTCAGTGTCCAACAACCAATTGGATACAATCTCCAGACTCAGCACAATCTCAATTTCCCTCATCCGCAAATCCTTACCTTCCTTCCTCACCAATTCGGCGCTGGCGCTAATGTATTCCTTCAACCCCATGGACATCGCGGTGATAATAGTGGGTCTCGCATCCATGGATCGTCTTCCTCGAAATCAAGGCGCAATGTAGACGTTCTGCGAATTGATAAAACCGTCATCAATACGCGTCAATCACGGGTTGCTTCTGGAGAGAGCGTTTCTTCTACTAAAGTGTCGCAATTGGTTCTATCACAGCTTCACGCTCCTTCTTGGTGTTCCTATGGATTGCAAGTCCAAGATGTTCCTTCGCTTCACCAACTTATGACACTCGAAGGCAAGGTCAAAATTTCAAACTTTTCCACCTCAATTATGTCTAAGGCTGATTCCTTTTTTCTTTGAACCCTTTAGCAATTTATGTAATTTTTTTTATGTCTTGTAGATTAATGCATTCATTCACTGCTTCATTGGTGCTAGAAGAATCGTGACCCTGCATGATTTGGAAGTAGCAATATGCCGAAACGAGTTGGTCGAATGTTTTGATGATCTTGAATTGGGACCTTTGCTGCAGCATCCACTAGTCTTGCTCTATTTTCCATCTTTATCCGGATCCACTAGTCTTGTTCAGATCACTAGTGAGGAGATAATTTCATTTCTTGATAGCTATTTGAACACTTACGATACGGACGATGTTAAGCTCGACGAATTCCTGAGTTTTGTTGCTGAGGGAAAGTCAGTTACAAGCAAGGAAAAGCTTGGCGTGCGTATTCAGAGCTTGGGGTATGAATATGATATTCAAAACTTGTTCCTTGTATAAACTGCTTTTATCTGATAATATGTGATGAAATGCATTTCTCTTAGGATGTATGTGACTTTTATTCAAGACGCGAAGAGACAAGAAGGCGACACGTTGAAGATCTTTCTGACTGAGCTGCATCAGAAGTATCACATGGTCTCATCAGAGAAACAACGGAAAGATGGATCCGTTACTGTCTCTGAGCATGCTGATTACTGTGGCAAGCATACTAGATTTGATTCGTCGAGCTCGGATGACAGTGATAGAGATGATTTCGAGGTCGAGAATGTTTGTAGTTCTGATCGTTTGAGTAGCTGTCCATATCCATCTGTTGCAGAAGAGATGAAGCGATCTAAAAAGAAAAGGAAGGCTGAGAGTTGTAATCATGAAAAGTCTAAGCTTAAAAGAGTCCCATCTAAATTACATAGAAGAGATGCGAAACAAGAGACAACTAAATCGGCGGATGACTATGTCGCTGTGAGTTTCAAAGCTTTTTTGCATATTTCCTCTATGACTTCCTGAGATGCATTTTTTGTCTTTCTTCCTTTGTTTTTATTAATTCGATTGAAGATTTTTGTTAGCAAGTCTCTGCTAATGCCTCATAACCTCACTGTTTTCTAGTGCCTCTTCTCTTTATACCTCATTTTCAATCAAAGCTAGACCCTTTCCAATCATACTTCTACAACTACTTGGTTTTAAGCTGTTAATCTTGTTGTTGTTTTTCTTCCTTCTTGTGCTCTTTTTGGTTTGTTTGTTTCTGTGTGTCTCAAGCTTCCCTGCTCTTGCGCTGAGACTTAAGCACCCAGTTGCAAAGTCTTGGAGTTAAGTTAAGCAAATGTAACAGCTTCCCTAGCTCAGCGTTGCTCTTTGATTCTGCTTCTGCAAATCACAATGTCACTGAGGCAAGGCTGAAAAAGGATAAAAATTTGCGTCCCTTGTCACCTCCAGTCCCAATTTCATCTACATGTTTTGCTTCTTTAATGACTTAATGCAATCCTTCCAAGATCTCAGGTTGCAGATTATGAAACTGAGACATGGTTGCATTTTTTGTAAATTTCCCTTGCTATATCTTCTTACACCTGAATTTGGCATGGAGTTTGTAGCATCTCAATTTTCTTTTCACCTGTTTTGCACGACGTAAAAAGCTGCAGATATCTGCTGTAATTGAGCCGTGACTTTATTCTTTTTCCCCCTCATTTTAATCAGAAGGAGCTTGTAACAGAGGCTCTTGAGGAACATAAGCCGATTGAGACCGTTGCTGGAAATGAAAACTGTGGAGGCACAAGTTCACGAGCCAATAAGCCAAGCCCGTTGCGTCCTATGCCCATGAAGAGTGGCTCAGCGTCAGGAAATCTTGTTCACGAATGGAACAACTCCGATTTCAGCGTAAGGGATCATCAGTTTCACACAGGCGGCACACATTGGGCTGCACAGGCGCAACAGACCGGAAAAAAAGGTGAAGAAATCGCTTACAGATACTTCGCTGCAAAATACGGCAAGGAGGCTGTGGTTAGATGGGTTAACGAGCAGAGCGAAACCGGTTTACCTTACGACCTAGTCATCCAAAACCGAAACGGCGGGAAGAAAGAGTACGTGGAGGTGAAGGCAACTGTATCCACAGGGAAAGACTGTTTCAATTTTACTGTGAGCGAATGGCAATTCGCAAATGAGAAAGGAGAGAGTTACGTTATCGCTCACGTTTTGTTAGGCAACAGTAACGCCATCATCACACAACATAGGAACCTTGTCAGATTGTGCCAAGAAGGTCATCTCCGGTTATTGATTCTCATGCTCAACCAGCGAAACCAAGTCAACGTTGCATTTTAAAACCCAAAATTCAGTTTCTTTTGTTACTAAATTTGTTTACTTGATGAGATTATTATGGCAAGTAAAGTTTCAGAATTCGTATGCGTATGTAAAAGCTAACTTGTGGGAGAAGCAAGACTGAGATAGGGTGAGTTGGCATTGGAGTGAACTTAAGTAATATGCAAAAGACAGCGAAAATGATAAAATTTGAAGAATGGTTTTGCTTGCTTCTTTAATCTTTATTCATTCAAAAATTTACTATAAATCATGGTCATCTACTGCACATAGAGATCAGATTTACGAAAACGACCGGTTTGGTGTTCCTCCCAAAATTTCGGTTTGTCCAACAACTTGTGATGTTCTTGGTTTTGCCACACCCAAATTCATTTTGAGTGGTATATTATATATGTCTCTTCTTGTAGGTGACTGTATGATGGGGGAATCTTGTGCAAATCCGAATAGAGTGAAGCTTCGGGATGGGAGATTCTTAGCTTATAGAGAAGGAGGAGTTCCAAAGGAGGAAGCCAAATTCAAGATCATTCTTGTTCATGCCTTTGGAAGCTCCAAATATATGTATTTCCCCGCATCAAAGGTGCAAATGGATGTTTCAAAAAGTGTTATTATTTCTGATGATCCTTGAAACAAAACAAATTAAACAAGGGAAAAATCTCATTTGGAGTTAGTTTTGCAGGAGCTGATAGAAGAGCTTGGTGTGTATTGTATCTTCTACGACCGTGTCGGATATGGAGAATCGGATTCAAACGCGAAACATTCGGTGAAAAGCGAAGTCGATGACATGGCAGAACTTGCAGATCAGCTGGAGATAGGACCCAAGTTTTACCTAGTTGGAGTTTCCCTTGGAGCTTACCCAATGTGGGGTTCCTTGAAACACATACCTCACAGGCAATCTAGAAGGAGAAATTAAGAAAGGGTTTTTTTTTTTTAATTAAATAATTGGTGACAAATAAAAGTATATTATATTCTGTCTTGTTTAATATTGCAGGCTATCGGGCGTGGCTTTTGTTTCTCCGCCGGTGAATTATCTGTGGCCTTCACTTCCTGAGAAGCTTACAAAGAAAGATTACAGGAGACGTCTTTTAAAATGGTTTTTGTGGATTTCGAAAAATGCACCTGGATTGATACATTTCTGGGTTTTCGAAAACCTCTTCCTATCAATTAAGTCGATCTACTTCAGTAGATTCCGCAAGCGAACAACTAATAGTCCCCTGCGTCCTAAGGTCAGCCCTTAGTTTTTCTCCAACTTGTCTACTTGTTGTGATTTTGGTTGATATTAATAAAGCTTAAAAGAAACGAATCGCATTTTTAGGGTTCCTTTTATAAACCCTAAAACCTATATTTGTATATATATACCTTGTCCTACAAGGTATGTGTAAGACAAGTTTGCGAAAATCTAAGGGAGGATTTCGTGACTTGTTTCGGGGAGTGGGGTTTCGAACCGGCGGATCTAAGCATTACTCAAGAGAGCTGTGTTCACATCTGGCAAGGGAAGCAAGACAAACTAGTTCCAGTTCAGCTTCAGAGATGCATTATGCAGGAGCAACCTTTTATCAACTACCACGAGCTCCCACAAACCGGACATATTATCTTGAACTACGATGGCACTTGCGATGCGATTCTACGCGCGCTTTTGCTTGGGGAGGAACAACTACTCGACAAACCAATTCTTTCTGACTTACCGTGCGTGTGATGAAATCAGCTGGTACAAGAAAATATGATTTGTTTTGGGGTTTTAAGTTGTTGCTCTTGTTGTTTTTTATGTTCCTTCTTGTGCTCTTTGCTTATTTCATACTAAAATGTCGTAATTTTTATAAACTACGTACTGTTTCCAAGGAATTTAAATAGAATTTTAAGAATTGATATGCAAAAAGATTATATAAAAAAAAAGTTAACTTGTGGGAGAAACAAGACTGAGATTGGTGAGTTGGCAGTAGCGTCTGGGATTTCACAAAGATGTTTAAATTATGACAGCGAAAAGGATAAAATCTGAAGACTGTTTTTAGCCAAAGGAATCAGAAGAGGAATATTTTCTTTTTGTTTTGGTCTTCTCAATTTTTTATTCACTCAAACTCAATCCAACCAAACCAGGCCTAATTGCTTTTTCTTCAAGTTGCCATTTTCTGTATCAAACATCACATCATCTTGCGCACACAAAATATCAAACTTTGACGAAACCGACAATTCAAAAACCGCTTTTTGTGTTCCTCCCAGATTCAAGGCAATTAATTGTTTTCTTGTCCGGTATGTTTGTCCTAAAACTTTTGATGTTCTTTGTTTTGCTACTTTCTTCACATCCAATTTCTATTTGTGTGGTGGATATATCACAAAATTTATTCTGCTAAAACCATTATGTTCTTGTAGTGACTTTATCACTGAAACTGATGGTGGATTCTTTTGCAAATTCAAATCGAGTGAAGCTTCGTGATGGGAGATTCTTAGCTTATAGAGAGACAGGAGTTCCAAAAGAAGAGGCCAAATACAAGATCATTCTTGTTCATGGCTTTGGAAGCTCCAAAGATATGAACTTCTCTGCCTCAAAAGTAAAAAAGAAATCCTCTTTGGACCTGGATGTTTCAAAATCCTCTGTTTTCTGATGTGGATGTAGTTTTTCAGGAGCTAATAGAAGAGCTTGGAGTATATTTACTATTCTACGACCGTTGTGGATATGGAGAATCGGATTCAAACGCAAAACGTTCGCTGAAAAGCGAAGTTGATGACATAGAAGAACTTGCAGATCAGTTGGAGATAGGACCCAAGTTTCACCTAATTGGAGTTTCCATGGGGTCTTACCCAACTTGGGGTTGCCTAAAACACATACCTCAAAGGCAAGTTAAGCATTCCTCAACCTAAACCCAAAAAAGAAGAGAAAGCCTAAATAAACAAGTATTGAGTATATTGTGTCTTCTTTGCAGGCTATCCGGCGTGGCTTTTGTTGCTCCGGTGGTGAATTACCGGTGGCCCTCGCTTCCAAAGAAGCTAATAAAGAAAGACTACAGGAGAGATATTCTTAAATGGGGTTTGAGGATATCGAAATATGCACCCGGACTGTTACATTGGTGGGTTATTCAAAAAGTCTTCCCATCAACTAGTTCAGTTCTTGAAAGCAATCCTGTCTACTTCAACACCCACGACATGGAGGTTCTCAAGCGAACCAATGGCTTTCCCATGCTTACTAAGGTCACTCCTCACACATGTATTGCGATTTGTAGCGATGATCATCAACTGTGACATTTATATATCTCTTGTCTCTAATCTTACAGGATAAGCTGCGGGAAATAAATGTTTTCGATTCTCTAAGGGACGACTTCGTGGCTTGTTTCGGGCAATGGGACTTCGAACCAGCAGATCTAATCATTACTAAAGAGAGCTCTGTTCACATCTGGCATGGCAAGGAAGACAAAGTTGTTCCATTTCAACTTCAGAGATGCGTTCTGCAGAAGCAGCCTTTGATCAACTACCACGAAATCCCACAAGGCGGACATTTGATCGTGCACTACGACGGCGTTTGCGATGCGATTCTACGCGGGCTTTTGCTCGGTGAAGAACAAACGCTGTTTAAACCAATTCTTGAATAACGAAACCATGTAAAGAAAGCTTCTTTTTTTCAACTCTTACTCTGTTCAAAGTGTACAATGACATTACATAACATACATATATATAATAAAGTGTTTGAATGAAGAAATGGATTAGCAAATCAAACAATGAAACGGATTTTTGTGTGTATCAGCTGCTTCTACTATTGGGACTCTCATTGATGAGATAATCAAACCGTGAATCGCCGCCATTGCCGGCTACAACGAGCTTCAACAGATCAACTGCTTTCTTCCTTCCTTTCACACTTCCGTTCTCCGCCACGTACACGATCCCTTCCGTAGCTCCTTCATCCGCGCTAGACGCAACCGCAGACGCAACTTCCGAACGCGCTTCGTCTCCTCCGCATCTCGCCAGATTCAGAAGCGCCCCAACGGCGTTCTCCTTGATCCGGAGGCTCGAGCCAGTGCAGGGATCTAGCAGATCCGCGAGAACGGTGGCTCCTTGAACTCTCCTCATCCCTTCCTCGCTCTCCTCGCATCCAGCGACCTGCGCCATAACCGCCGTCGCATCCTCCACGATCCCGCACCGCGAGTCCTTCACGATCAGCGAGAAGAGCGCCGGAATCGCGCCGAGGGAAATCATCGTCGATCGGTTGATCGGATAGAGAGCGATCGCGAAGAGTGCCTTGAGCGAGTCTTTGATCGATCGGGGATGCGAATCTGGATATCTGATGATGTGGATGAGGGAGAAGATGATGTCTCGCTTGGATCCGACGATAGGTCGGTAAGACTCCTCGGCGATGAGGAGGCTGTAAATCGTGGCGGCGGAGGACTGGACTGCGGCGGGGGAGGTGTTGGTGTCGTGGTGGCGGAGAGCGTGAGAAAGCGCGTCGAGTAAGCCGCGAGAGGACATTAGCGACTCGCGAGAGGTGATGGAGAGGTTGAGGAGAGTGGCGGCGGCGTTTTCCTGAGAAGAATTCGACGACGAGTAGAGAGTCTCGGAGAGGTACGGAATAGCGCCGGCGTCGGCGATGATAAGACGGCTGTCGGGATCTTGTTTGGAGATGAGTCTGAGCTCAGCTAAAGCGGCTGCTCTGGTATGCTCGGAGACGGAGCTGAGCTTCGAGACGATGGATTCTATCGTTCTACGCTTTGCTGTTTCCATAGGGGAGAAGATAACCGTCGATGAAACTCTCTCTGCTCTCTCCGTCTCTCTGGGATTTCCTTTTTAAAATGAAACCTAATTTTCTCTTTTGGGATGCTGATGAAGTTTGACTTTGTTGTGAACAAGTCACACACACTTGTATTATTGTATTGAGCATTTAATGAAAGAAGAAGAGTCATAAAGTTTGAACAAAAAAAGAAGAAGAGTCATAAAGTGGAAACTAAAGTTGCAACTTTTTATAAGTGGGAATCGGATAATGTACTTTGCTTATCCACGGAAAGTAATTTTAAGACATATCTATGTTCCCACAGATCATGTAGTATTAATTAGGCCTCAATTGGGCTTCATTATGAATCATCGGTTTGTGATCATTAAATTCTTAAATGTGAAGCCCTATAAGGCCTGTTAATCTCATATATGTGTTTTACTTTAATTTCTCTTCAGAAAATAGATAGATAGTGCTGTCTCTTTTTTTTCTCTCTTTTTCTTGTGCATATAAATCGGTTCCATTTACGTGGTACGTTGATTTTATAGCATACAAGAAAAGGAGAAAAGAAGAAAAGAAGATCCTATCTTTTCTAGTACAACATAACGTAAATAGAGTGACCGAGAGTGACTGAGGAGTGAAATTAAGACAAAGAAACTTGGCCATTTAGTGATAAAGATTCCATTTCGATTTAGAAATTGGAGAAGTGGTTCCGCGATGACTGAACAATCTGCATATCGGTTGTCGTTTGGCAAGATGTTTCATCACTTATCAGCGACCTATATTCACGTTAGTAATTCCCAAAATCAAATTAATTATTTTTTTAGCATATATTAAAATGTAAGATGTTAAACTGCATGAGATATGTGTCTTACTCTCGTGGACGAGACAACCAAAGAGAGCTAAGAGCTCTGAGCCGTCCGTAGTACTCTCCGATGACTAGAAAGCACCGTGCGGCTTGGCGAACGGTCAAGATCCGCCTCAGCTGGTGAATGGTCTGCTGCCTCAAGTTATCAGCCTTCATATAAATTAACAACAGAATTGAGAAGACGAACAAAAAACTCAATTAGTAATCACCGTTTCTTTGTTCGAAACTTAATCTCACTAATTCTTTTGATATGATGATAAAGAAAATGAATAATGGCACACCTACTACCTTTGGTGGGCTAATGGGTATTACAAAAGTCAATAACTTGTAATTGATATATGAATAAATAATCAATTTGATCTTAATGTTGAAAAACAATAAAATATTTTAATGTGTTTTATTGAGTTCAAAACAAAACTTTGAAAGAGATGGATAATACTTTTAACATATTCTCTTTGTTCCTCTTCACCTATTTAGTATAAAAAAAAACAAGTTGGTGAAAGAAAATTGGCTCTTCGAATAATTAAATTCAAGACCTGAAGAACATATGTTATTATATGACATGAGAAAAAGAGCGGCAAGAAAAAGGAATTGAAAAGACATGGCCAATAGGCATAATCCAGAAACAGACAATATATACGTGAAAGCAACATTTGATCAATTTTTCTTTTCTTTCGAATAGACAAATTTAGCCAGCCCATAGGTTTGTACATACTGTATATGTACGCAAAATGTATGCACGTATTTGTACGTGTATTAATATGCTCCCAAAACGTTAAATTTAGCCAACGTATTGTTTTTTTTGTAAAATTAACTCTAAACCAAAATATTCACGTTTACCTTTCAATTTAATAAATTGTAAAATTGCAAACGTACGTGGGAGATGAAAACTTTTTTGTTCTTCTTTTGTGTTATTCATTTTCAAAAGATGTTTCCTCAAAAACAAACGTGGTTTAAAAATAAATGAACTAAAGAGAGAGAGATGAATTGGAACCTGGCGGATAAAACCTTCGAGATTAGAGATCTTGCCGAGAGCGACGGCCATTTGTTGCATACCATCAATGACGGGAGAGGCGGCGAGAGTATCGATGAGAGACTGTTGAAGTTGTTCGAGGCCTTGCGAGAGAGCTTCCTCTGCTTGTTGCGATGAGTGTTGTAGGCTATATATTCCCATCAGTTGTTGCTCCGTCAATAGATCCATTTGCGACACCAATATCTTACAAAACCCATCAACTCGCTCTTTTTAGTTACGTTTTCATGTTGTAACTCTTGATTATTTCTTAATAACGATTCCACACTTTTGTGTTTTAACGACGAATTTATTTTGAAGACGAACCTTGATGAGGTCGGATGGACGGAAACCGGCCATCCAAATGAAACAGCGTTCGGCTTGAGACATCCATGTTCCGATGATGAGGTGGAAAACATCGGCTTTGGCAGCGACGGCTTTTAATCGGAATATCTCATCAAAGTGAGCAATGTAACCATCAACGATCAACCTCAAATCGTTGTCCGATAAGTGAGCCTGAAGACCGGTCCGGATCTCCGACATGTGCCGGTTATCTTCCTCTAGCCATCTCCCATATTCCATGTCAAACATTGCAGCTCCTACGTACGTTCATTTTTCGAAAATATGTTAATCGTATAAATTAATCATAGTTGTTGCCTTGTTGGGTCCAATATGTATTTTAATATATAATTCTGCAATTGGTGTTTTAGGTTTTAGTACCGGAAGTGATGTTAGGTCCAGGTGGACCACAGCCACCCATAAACAGCCCCTGTATCGACATAAACAATACATTAATATAATTAGCATAATAGGACTATAATAATGGAAGTTAAAGGACTGTAAAATTAAACAAATCAGTTAATTTCCAAGTGAAAAAATACCTGAGAACGAGCTCGCTGAAGTTCTTGCTCCAACTGGGAAAGCTTTATCCTGCTTGATTCTAGCTGTTGCACATAAGCCTGCTCAAACCATATATACATTAACTTGTTATTATTTATATACATCACACATATGTGAAGAAACAACGTAACGACGAAAAGTGATACAGCAGTAGCTTGACTTAGGAATATAATTCTTCTCTCGTATTTAGAACAAAATTTCCTCATCTGTGCATTATGCATGGCAATTATATACGTTCATAAATGAAATTATAGAAAGACTGGTACACGGTAGATATGGAATTAAATGCTACATACTATTCATATAAGAGAAGCACGACTGTCTATAAATAAACAGACAGGGAATTGTTGTGGCTGTTACCTTTTTCCTAAGACGGCTTTTGCGAGCAGCTTCTCTATTTTGGGCCAAACGTCTCAATGTCTAAATCAATTACATTTAACAAGAGGTTAACTAATTAATTAATCCACGGACGAAGGAACGTGTATGTATAAAAGGTAATTAAAAAGTACGTGTATGTATCATGTATGTCTCCTTGGGGGACTCAGATAAATGTGTATGTACTGTATAAAACTATTAATGATGATGAACGTTAAAGTACCTTAGCATCAAGATGTTTGCCTGAAGTTGTAGCCTTCCTCTGCAATGTCAGAGAACAAAGATGAAAATAGAAATATAATTTCAGTGGAAAAAAACAAAACAGAAATTAATTGTGCAAGTTAAGTTGACTCATGTGAAAATATCCATATACAGACAAGAAAGAAGTAGCATAAATTTGTATGTATACATTGAATCATTTAGAACTAAGTGGTATGAAATTATTTTGAAAATATATGTACATTTATAATATGTAACTAGCAGATTATATGATATATACATAATGAAGTAAACATATACTAAAAGCTATGACATTGTTACTGTTAAATCCTATAAAAAGGAAACTAAACAAAAAAAGTAACACTGAGGAAGATTCTTTATTTCGCTGTGTTGAGTTTTATTTATTTGTATTTTAAGTTTGTCTTTTTCAACGAATTGAGAGGTCAAAAATCTGAATTTTCTCTGATCCGTTTCCTTTTTGGGATCTGTGTATGTTTTTGTTTTATTGGAAGATTTGTTAGGACATGTTCACAAATGCATGTGGATGTGTATATATAGGATACGGAGAGAGAGACATATACGTATACCATGTACATGCATCAAAGCATGCATGTTACATGAGATATGCCTCCACATGCATATATCTCTTTCTAAAATTGAATTGTAAAAGTGATGATGACGCTGACGAGTACCTTATCTTCCGTAGGTTTTGGAGTTACTAGAGTTCGAGATGTGGAGGGAAGTCCAGATGTTGAACTTGAGTTTGCCATGTTGTTATTATGATGATGATGCTGAAGCATGAGCTGATGATTCTGTTTGCTACTCATTGGAGACTCCGGCTGTTGACTTTCTGCTTTGCCGGAGAAATTCGCCGATCCTGAATCGGTGCTCTCTCCTCCTGACTTGGAACTCTCCTGCAATACATATTTAACATATAAAACGTAGTACTCATAAACACAAGTAATAAATAAAAAAGTCAGAGAAGGGATGATTAATGTAACTACGAATTCAAATGAACACAAATTTCAAGATAGATAAACAAGTAGTTATATATTGACCTTAGCGTATAGAATTTGACAAACGGGTGTAACTCAAATTGGGTTTGATCTTATATAAAGTCAGAAGAAAGGAGTAATTAAACTAGTTTAAAATCGCTTTCACTTGTGAGGGAAAACAAGCAAATATAATAGAGAGCAAGAGGAACAAGAAAGCTGAAACCTATATAAAAGAGAGTAAAATGGGAATTTAAAAATTCGAATAAGAGAACGAATATTTACTTATTAGTATTATTTTTTTTTAAAAGAAGAAGAATGCCGGAAAAGGAGAAAAAAACAAGAGGAAAGGGTCAAAGAGGAAGAAAGGGTACAGTAGGAAGAGTTTGATGAGTTCTGATTGGCCATGAAGGGAACATCTCCAGAGTCGTAGCTCCTCCCCCTGCAAATAAAGCTGCAAATTTCCCATCATTACATTTACATAAGAATCATGAATTGGTATTAATTGTGTGCATGTGTGTGTTTGATGCTAATATTCTATTTAGAGTTAATTACATCATTTATCACGTGGATCTAGATATGACTTGACACATTTTACCAGATATAATTATAAATACTTGTCAGCATAAATAAATATAGAGAGACAAATAGTGTGGATTTGATATAGAGGAGGTTAGGGAGTTGGTAAAAAAATAAACCTTATTCTTTTATGGAAAAAATAAAAGAAGGAAAAACCGAAAAAGAGAAGAGAAATAAATAAACAAGTCACGCCATCCAAGGCTCTCTTTTGCCTCCGTATCATCACCAAAAACACAAATGACAAACCTATGTAAAGACTTGTTCAGACTCTTTTTGCAATTTCAGTTTTCCAATTTAATTTTTCAAAACTTTATAGGAGTTTGTTAAGGGAAGCTCACGTCATGGAGAGATGAGAGAGAGTCTTACGTGGCTTGGCTTCGTCGTTCCTATACTTAACACCTTGCAGAACAATTGCTTCTTCTAGCTCTCCGAAATCGAAACTCGACGACCCATCTTGGTTACTGTTTCATTTCACAGTATTATTTAATTAGTAGTACAAAAGGAATATTTATATGTTACAGCTAAACTTATAAGTAAAAAACAACTAACCAGGAACAAGAATATTATTTAAATTGAGGGAAAAAGAAGAAGTATAATTAAAATTAAGCAACCATACTCAAGACGGTCGCATATATGGTGAAATGTTTTTTTTGCTATGATATATGATGAAATGCTTACACCATGACTATATAACCTATTTCGCATGATCTACATAGCACATTCTTGAATATGCAATCAGTTTCTGTTTTACCTATAGATTTCCGTTGACCAATTACTATCTTACAAATTAATGAGAACCGTGTTAATATATTATACTACGTATTAAGAAACTGACAAATTGGAGAATAAACAAAGAAAACCCATAAATGAAGTTTAGCTTAAGAATGAACATTATTAACCAAAAAGATAATGTAAAGCGATTTTAAAAAGGAAGAAAAGACATGGAAATATTTATTACATGAATCCAGGAGGTGGAGGATTGTTGTTGAGGCCATGAAGAAGCGAATATGGAAGATGATGATTATGGTTATGGTTTGAAGCTTCACTGATTCTATGGTTCGCCATCTTCCTAAAAATCAGCTCTGGTTGATGATATCTTCCTCTTTTCTTGGTCCTCTCTTCTGTTTTCTTGATCTTAATTGTCTATTTTCTGTAAAACATTAGTTAGTCTTGAGAAAATGAAAGAAACGAAGGGAAATTTTTTCACTAGATAGGAAGTTGAGTTAAGAAACACAACAGAGAGAGAGAGAAGAGATAGTAAGTCTTAATTAAGTCTTGATCAAGTTGATCAAATGATTGGAATCTGAAAAAGAAAAGCTAGTTGATGATGAACATAAAAGAAAGATAGATATTATGTGTTTAATTTATTACCTTTTGTGAAGTTTTTTAGTATTTGCTTTGGGTGTTTGAGAACAAAGAGGAGAGAGGAAAAGAGAGAGAGAAAGTAGGATGGAAGCTTTCTCGTCAAAGGCTTTTTTATGGCTGAACAGAAAAACAAAGAGGGTCCAACCTTTTCTCTTTCAGAGATACATATATACAAATATGTGGGCGTGTATATGTGTATTGAGTATATAATTAGAGATAGAAAATGATGTCTAATACTACTAGTAATTAGTAATTGTGTAGGATTATTACGCTTTTTCTCTCTACTTGTATGCGAAGAAACCTTTGTGATTCATCAGTCTCTCCTTTTCACCACCTTTCTCTATCTATTTCCACAGTAAACTCAAATTGCACTTACTAAAGTTTCCAAAATCTATTTTTAAAAAATTAATAATAATGATTCATGGTAAATCATACGAAGATCTTGTCCTTGGCAGACTTTGTCTCCAGGCTATATTTTTGTGTTGTGTGTGTTGCTATTTTGATTTTTATTTTCTGAATTATACTGTGGTTGGAAAAGTTGTACAAATATATTGAAGTTTTACTTGACCAGCTTTATAGCTGTCAAGGGTCAAAGCTGGTAGTTTGCAATTCTGATCAGAAAGACGATATCTGTACATAATTACATACCCTTAAACAGAAAAAAATTATATACTAGTCAAATGGAAAATAGCAAATACATGTGTAAAAGAGTTTATCATTGTCAAAAGGTGAAAAGGGTTTTATCCGTGTAGAAGATGATAAGAAGATTGGGTCTTTATCAACAGAAGATAAGAAGATTGGGTATAACCGTATAAGATTAATTGGACCGAACAAAAAAATCATCAAGTGAGGTAGTTCATTAAGAACAATATCGAGGTAGAGAAAAGGGGGAGAAGAAAATTAAATGAGAATTTGTATTTTAGTAAATTAAATAAAATAAAGAGCAGAAAAAGAGGAGGAACCCACTAGAATCACTGACTCCTACTCCACAATCTCTCTTTCTTTGTAACCGCCTGTTTGTGCTTATTGGCTCCTTTTCATCAAATCTCTTTTTGGGCTTATTCAAGTACACACAATTTTTAAATTTCATATTCACGTAGATTCATCTCTTGTATAGATTCACCTTTTGCATGTGAACGCAGTATGGTAATTTTGTAAAAAAAAGCTTCCTCTATCATCCTCCTGGCATCAGCAGCATGTTTCATGAAGTTGTTTTGCAAAAGTAGTTTGTGTACTGTTCTAAAAAAAAACAATTAAACATGAAAATTTTCGCATAATATTAAGAATCTTTGAATGGGCATGACAAATACAGCTTACTCTTTTGAAAAAATAATATGATTTATCATTTTAGTTTAGTACACATACTCTGCTTCTAATGATTAAATGAATACAACTCCCCCAGCTAGATTATATAAGTTATTTTATCCGGGGGATCTAATGATATTGTTATTGGATTAAAATATACAATGAAAGATCATACACTGTTAAAATGTTCTTTATGTATATTTAGTAACAATATACATATCATATCTTTATAACATGTACACATAAACAGAATGTTTGTTGACGAATATATTTAAATTAGCAGAATCGAGCGAGTTTATATGCCCAAACCTTAACTCTTTTGTTAAATGACCTTTGGGATAGGGAGGGGATAACAATAGTATGAATATCATATGACTAATATATCGGAAAATTTTAGTTCATGGACTTCCAAATTTGGTTAGCGGAGATTGCTGGTATATATGACAATTTCTCAAAGCGCACATCTTATTTTTGAACATATAGATTTGTATTCAAGTTTCAAATGTGGACATAATAGAACTAGAACAACTTCCTCTAGCTAGTTGGTTAGCCTACCATGCTTAAGTTGAATAAACTATTTTGCTTCTACCAGTTCAACCAAAATACCCATTTGAATAATGACAATTATGTAGACCAATGAGATAACACTAAACGACCTTTATTTTCTGAATTAATCGTATATAAAACTATAGGAAAATATCAATAATTATAAACATCTCAATCAAGTGTTATTTAATTGGATTAGTTTGGTATTATCCTTAATTTTGTTGATGGGTCAACATCCCCTCCCTGTCATCACCTAAATCCCAATGCCACATTTCAGATTCCTTTCCTTTATTAGAAATTGTTATATGTCTCCTTCGATTCATATAGCTAATTTAGTCAATGAGCTCTTGCAAATCTGCAAAGTGTCATTGCTTTGGTCTTAATTTTGTGTCATTATAAATCCCTCAAGTTGAGATTCTTTAAATGCTTTTTTCGCTTTTGACGGCTCTTTAAATGCTTTTTTGTTGTTGTTGTAGAAGTACATTCACAGTTTAATTTTAAACACTTTCGATATTAATTTGCACATCGAAATAAGTGTTTAGATTATCAAACTCAGCCCAATATCACAATCTTACTAGTATTACAATGCATATTAGAATTCTCTGCGTACAAAAAATATTAAAAAAAATTATAGTCGATATATTTTTTTAGTAAATTTTCTTTGCGTATACATTTGGTGTCAAACTTTTAAGCCGGTCTTTAATTTTAGTAAATTATCTGATTCTGAATCTCTGATACAATTATAGTTGTAAAAGGCTACATTTTGTTTGGTTTGCTTTAGGCCCAATATCATATAGGTTCGGCCCAGAATGCAGCAATGGTACAAAGCAACAGAACAGAAAACGCGGTAAAAAGACGTTGGGACGAAGTTGGTGGCAGCGAAGGAACGTGTTACGGTGGCGACGGAGTTTAATTAAACTACGGAGAATACATAATCTCTCAATTAATTAAAAGATGATCTCAGACAGATGTTATTGTCGGGAGAGTAAAAACAAACTCTACTGGTTTGTTATTTACTCTTTTTATTTTTTAAAAATCGTGAAAAGAGACAGATGTTGTAGACTTAGAAATCAAATTAACGTAGTGATTCCCACGTTCCACCTTCCTCCTAACCCTTTTCTTCATCGCCACTCCATCTCTGCAAACATTCTTTTGTAATCGTAACGCGTTTATCTTTTATATTTCTTTCTTATGTAACCAAACCAAGTTCGTTGCCGGCCTTAACGATTCCTTAATCCCGATTTCTCTTTTTGTTGTTTTCTCAACAACCGGAGTAAAGAGCGATAAGATTCGATTGCGTGAGGAGCGATAGAGAGACTGAGAAGGCGCCGCAAGCCCGAGCTTTGGCGGTTCGGCGGCTCCGCGTCTTCGGTGGGTCGAGTCGTCCTGGAGCTGTCTCGTTGTTTCTCGACGGCGGAAGAGGAAGAAAACGACCGGAGAGCCATGGACATTGGTGGTCCAACCAATGTCCGACACGTGGCTCACGTTACCTTTGATCGCTTCAACGGCTTCCTTGGCCTTCCCTCTGAGTTCGAGCCTGATGTCCCCAGAAAAGCTCCTAGTGCAAGGTTCGGCCTTTTATTTTCTTCTTCTTGATGTAATTAGTGAATAAATTAGCTTTCTTGCTTACGGTCTGAGGATTAGATTGAGATGCAAATAGGGACTTAGATTTCATTTCATGTTGTATGTTTTTGGCAGTGCAACAGTGTTTGGGGTCTCGACAGAGTCAATGCAGTTGTCATACGATTCAAGAGGCAACTGTGTTCCTGTGATACTCTTGCTGTTGCAGAGCAGGCTATATGATCAAGGAGGCTTGCAGGTGAGTGAATGATTCAGAAGATATTGTAAATTCAATTTCACATCCCAAAACTGTTGAAATGAAAATCGTATACTCTATGTCTCATCAGGTGGAAGGAATATTCAGAATAACAGGAGAGAACAGCGAGGAAGAGAATGTGAGGGAGCAGCTAAACAAAGGGATGATACCAGATGGGATCGATGTGCATTGCTTAGCCGGGCTTATCAAGGCTTGGTTCAGAGAGCTGCCGAGAGGTGTGCTTGATCCTCTTCCATCGGAGCAAGTGATGCAGTGTGAGTCAGACGAAGATTTCGTCAAGGTTGTGAGGCTTTTGCCTCAGAATGAAGCTTCTCTTCTCAACTGGGCCATCAATCTCATGGCTGATGTTGTTCAGTTTGAACATCTTAATAAGATGAACTCTCGTAATCTTGCTTTGGTCTTTGCCCCTAACATGTCTCAGGTCAGTTTTTTATTGAATGCTAAAATGCACAAATGATACTCCATAAGCAATGTATAGAGAGAGCTTTTGTTTTGGCCATCTTGTGAAAATGTGTTTGGATTTGTGTGTGTGTGTAGATGGCAGACCCGTTAACTGCATTGATGTATGCGGTTCAAGTGATGAAGTTGCTGAAGAGCCTCACAGAGAAAGCTCTGAGAGAAAGGGAAGCCACGTCTTCTCAGGTTGATGCAAGTTGCAGCAATGAAGCCGAAGAAGATGAGAAGGAAGAAGACAACGAAGAAGATGAAGAAGAGGAGGAGGAGGAAGAAGGAGATGATGTGTACATAGTTGAGGAAGAAGCATCAGAGAGAATAAGAAGAGTTGCTGCTGATGAACACAAGTCAAGAAGTGTGAAGAGTGAGCTTGAGGGACATAGTGCTTCAGATTCAAAGGGAGATGGTGGAGTTTTGCAGCAGCCACCCATTTGCAGTCCCAACCGTTTAGGAAGCAAGTGAAATTGATGGTCTTTTTCTTCTTTTATTAGTATACTGTGTGTTTTGATTGCTTTATTTTACTGCATATGTAACTTTTAAGTAATGTAGTTTGTTGTTGAATGGGTGATTTGATATGAGACTAACTATAAATGCTTATAGTCTGATCATTATCATTCCTTAGCAGAAACATGAAAGTGTCAAAGACTAAGCTGTTCATTGGCAACAAACCCAGTCTGTTACACATGTGTCAAAACCAAAATGATACAAGATGGTACCTGTTTTTGTTTCTCGTATTCTAATCAAATTCAGAGATGAGTCATACAACAAAAAGAAGACTACTCCTTAGTTCTTGGGGACTATTCGAGCTTGACAGAACGGTAGATGTGGCGAATAAACATCCAAGAAGCTAAGAAGCTTATGGTTCCAAGAACCAAGAAGAGAGCATAACATAACAAAGCAGTGTATCCAAAGTAGAAGCTCAACTGCAGAAACCCGGTCATTTCGGACCTGAGATAGAACAATACTCCATACCCATACATGAAGATCGCCGTGAATCCTCCACACGATATCGATCTGCAAACATTTATAATAGTAAGATTCTATGCCAATCATGTTTCACATTTTCTTTCTTCAATAACAACATACTATTGACTGTTTGAATCTAGATATTTACACTAAGGTGCATATGTCAGGGCTTCTCATAATACCTAGTCTAAGTCCAGTTCACATGTTTCGATGGAAATGATGCAGTACAGTAAAAGAACACATACCTCCACCACCATTCATGATCCTCACCGGACAGCTGAATATAGGTCAAGATAACACCGACACTGGCACTCAAGAAGATGAGCAGAAGGAATGTCAAAAGCATGATTCCAGGCGAGGTATATATTTTGAATCCCCACAAGCTTGCATAGAGTTGGTGCAACTCAAGAACAACTGCACTGAAAGGTACAAGGCCTCCGAGAAACATCTGGTACAGCTTTCTCCGGTACCAATTCTGCGTTGGAATCTCTCGAGGGTTCCTTTTAATAGCTGATGGAGGCTGAAACTCTAATAATCCGAAACGGTTACCTAACACTCCTCCCAACATGAGAAATGGGATATTCAAAAGAGTGTAGATGAGTATGATGATGACTATTGTGCCAAAGGGGAGTGCAGCAGTTGCTCCATATGTAATAGCCACAGTGTTGAGAATCGAAACTATCATGAAGAAAGGAACCGGGTAGAGGATCCCAGCAAGACGAACACTCCTTTTCTGAAAAAGACAATAATGCTCAGATTCTTAAGGTTATACGAACAATGAATCTTTATTGAGAACAGATTAGTCACCTGTTTGTTTCCATCGAAATGGCTATGGAAAGAAGCAGACGTGTACCCAGCAACTACTGATGTAAGAGTGTAAATGGTGACAAGAGAAGTCAGCAGCATTCCACGGTTGTATGGGTATATGAAACCGGTGAAGGCCAATGCAAATAGAGCAATAGTCCTGAAGACGAAAAAACCAAGTCAGAGACATGGTACAATAGAATGACTATAATGGATTCATAGATATTGGAAGCTTACAAGATTAGCAACTGAGTGCCAGTTCCTAAGAACGCACAAAGCAAAGAGATGTTCCGAGGACATCTAAATACATCACTTTGTATGAGTTTCCAACCCACTTCCTTTTTTTCTTCTTCATCTCCGTTTGAGCTACTGAAATGCATGAAAGAGAAGTTAACTTATCACATATGCTAAAAGTACACATACACAAGAATAGTCTGTTAAGAAACAAAACTCACCTTCGTAATTCATTCTTGAGATGGCGCATGAAAAGGAAAGAAAGAAGTCCAATCACCAAAACAACAACAGTTATCGAGTTAAGAAAAGAGAAGAAGTGAATCTTCTTGCTGATAGGATGAAGCGACGCCAGAGAGTACTTATCCATTCTTGTCTCAGACTGTTCTGAAGTCAGATTCCAAGAAACCGAGTATGTAAACTGAACATCAATCTCAGTACTCTCTGATATATCAACCAGATGATTCGGATCGCTGAAACTGTTGATTCCAATAACTCTGTCTGCATTGTACAGAACATTAAACTTTAAGTGACTGAAGATATAATACTTAGTGTGCTTCTCCACTTGACCAAAATAATCTCCCTCTACTTTCCCAATAAATCCCCACAAGGGGAGATCGTCGTAGTACATTTGAAAGTAGAAATCTTGAGCAATAGTATCTCTGAGCCTGGCGATTTGACTCGATGTTAATCTTTTGTGGCACAGTACAACATCAGTTTTATCCTCTCTAAATTTCAGTTTATATAACGGGCTCATTAATCTGTCACCATTAAGAACTTCCCCAAGAGTCTCCTTTTTCTCAATCACAGGCTCTACAAAAATATAAAAAAACAATCTTGAATCAACCACTGGAACTTGGGGAGCTACACATACGCATTTCGAAGTCTAAAAGTCCACAGACCAGTTTTAAAAAGATTATCAGGATGAGTGAGTTTGTCTTGAGAAACCTAACCTGGACGGCAGAACGGCAAATCATAATATTGATAGGTCTCACTGCACACAAAACAAAACCAAAAATTGAAAAATGGGTCTAAGCAAATGGGAGATCTTTAAGTTCCTGGTGAAACAAAAACATATCTTACACATTCTCTTACTTGATCTATCCATATATATAGCTTCTATACATACTTCCATCTAAGAGAAAAATCTCTTCCACTCAAATTACTAATTTATATGAAATTCGTCAGTCGTCACTATATAAAACTAGCAAATGCAAATGCCCCAAATGATTTTCATCGGAAAAAGGAATCCAAAAACCACAATTGAGTTCTTAATTGAAGCCAGACTTAGAGGTTTAAGCAATTACCTTGGATTGTGGAGAGGACCAACTTTGTTGACGAACAGAGGGACATGATCGCCGGCATTATAACTGTTCGACGAGACTGATCCTGATCCGAATCCGATCCAGAGCGTCAATGTGAGTAGGACTTGTACAGTGAGCAGAAATCGCGCCATGAATTGGCACGCTTCTGCTGCTTTTCAAAAGGAACGAATGAATAAGTTGAAGAGGAGCTTGATGAGAAACAGACATCTTCTTCTAATCTAAACAGCTCAAGCAAAAAAAAAAAAACCATACAGAAGATAGATATAGTCACCAAACGACGTCGTTGAAGCACACAGTCAAACCTTAGTGATGAAAATGGATCAGGAGAAGCAAGATGCCCTAGTTCCCTTCTCTTGGCTAAATTTAGTGGCTTTGACTAGACCACTATCAGAAGAAAGTCACCAAAAACCGTGAGTCCCTTTTTTTTTGGAGATTTCGCAACATTTTATCAGTCACAAATCACAATTTAAGATCGCTATCATTCGACTTAATTTCATTATCCTAAAAACCGTATGGACAAAAAGTCAAAAGATTTAGGTAAATTCAGGTTTTTGTTTGGTTGCATTAACTGGAAGCAGTTGTGTGTACGGAATCGTCTTTGCAATTTACTACTAATTAGACAGACATATGAACTAAACAAACTGTTCTGTCGGATAAAACATGGAAAGTAGGTGATTAGTCTTCTTTTTACCTCAAGATTTGGTTCCCGCCAAGGATACACCAATCCTTAGACGTTAACCAAGATACCAATGATACAAAAACCAAGGTGTAAGTACTATTTCCGAGTCTTGGAGTAGATTTATTCTTTTGGTGGTGCATCTGTGCATATATTTTAGAACTAGTTTGGACTTTGGTTTGACAAAAACAAAAGATCTGGTTTGGTGTAGTTTCGATTGATTTATTACTATTTGGGCTTTTATCAATTGTCATGGTTGCAAACTAAGGCCCAATTCAATTAGGTTTATTTTTAGTTTATCGCTTTTCCTACTATAAAATCTTCGCCTCTCACTGGATTTAGGGTTTCTTCTGTCTCTTCATTCAGGTTTGTGCTCTAACGACTGCGTCACTTCTAGCTTGATCCTTCTTCTTCTATCTTACAATGCTTGTTTCTCCAGCTCATCATTTAGATTTTCATTCGTTTCTTTTTGCTTTTTTGTTTGTTTGTTTGTTTCCAGGATCAGATCTTTGAGAAAAGCTCAAAATGAGGTATATGACCCTTCTCTTGCATTCATATTTCTCGGAATTGAAATTGTCTTCTTTTATATGCAATTTGGTTCCACTCTAGTTTGCCAATCAAATTAAGATTAATTCCAGTCTAGTTCGTCTCTGTGTATATCAATTGCTGCGTTTGATTGATAGGTTTAATATGAAATAAGCTGAATTTTGAGCAAAACGGTATAGCAATCTTGATAGCATATATTGTACTTTGTCTTTAAGAAGTAGGTTCGTGAGAAGCCTGGTGACTTAGGTGATTAGATTCAAGATAATTTTGTTTTGGACTGTCTATGATTGGGTTTGTGCAATGAATGCTTCAGCCACTGTTGTGTATTTCTGTTTGTTGTTCTAATTTGGTGAATAAATGTTTTGTGTCCTATAGTAAGCTCTCGAGTGACGCCCTTAGAGAAGCCGTAACCGTTGTGAGAAGCAAATCGGATGAGAAGAAACGCAACTTTGTGGAGACTATTGAGCTCCAGATTGGTCTGAAGAATTATGACCCTCAAAAGGACAAGCGTTTCAGCGGTTCTGTCAAGTTACCACACATTCCCCGTCCCAAAATGAAGATCTGCATGCTTGGAGATGCCCAGCATGTTGAGGAGGTGATTCATCTTTTCACTTCCCCTTATAATTGGATGCACACACAATTTACTTTTGTTGGAAATGGGCTGAGGTTCAAATAGTTTGATAACATTCTCGTCTTATGATAACATTTGTGGAAATTGGTCGTAATTTGTTTATGCATCATTTCTTATGTTATGCAATCATTGCTTATTTCCTTTTGTATGCTTGGACAGGCTGAGAAAATGGGACTAGACTATATGGATGTGGAGGCTTTGAAAAAGCTTAACAAGAACAAGAAGCTCGTCAAAAAGCTTGCAAAGAAGTACCATGCTTTCTTGGCTTCTGAATCAGTCATTAAGCAGATTCCTCGTCTTCTTGGACCTGGTCTCAACAAGGCAGGCAAGTTCTGGCTACAGCTATAATAATAGTCCATGTTCTCTCTTTTGATTTTGAATAGTGCCAATTCTTCATAGGCATTGTATTAACGCTTTGATTATGTTTGGATGCAGGAAAGTTCCCAACGCTTGTGAGCCACCAAGAATCACTAGAGGGGAAGGTGAATGAAACAAAGGCAACTGTTAAATTTCAGTTGAAGAAGGTTCTCTGCATGGGAGTTGCAGTTGGTAACCTATCCATGGAAGAGAAGCAGATCTTTCAGAATGTCCAGATGAGCGTCAACTTCCTTGTCTCTCTCTTGAAGAAGAACTGGCAAAATGTATGTACACTGTAATGAGTCTACTTTCTGCTTTTGTTGTTCCTTTTGATCAACTATGTTAACATCTTTCTATCTTAACTTGTAGGTGAGGTGTTTGTACCTCAAGAGCACCATGGGACCACCACAAAGAATCTTCTGAGAGCTCTCTCACCTTCTGGAATGGTTGGCTGCTTTAAGACACTCGCCTTTTTGTTTTTGTTTCAGACATCTTTGAAAGAGTGTAAGAATTATGTTGGCTCTCCTTTAGATTTGATTTGGATGATTAAGAGAAATGCAGTGGTTTTGGTTGATTAGATGTGCAAGTTTGATTGGAGAATCAAACTGACAAAAGCCGAAGTTTACCATCTAAACACAATTTTACTATATTTTTAGCCGACTTGGTGATTATACATTCTTCTCGATTATATATGCTTCTTTTAGATAACTGATTTTTAAATGGTAGTTACATGGGTGTTTATGTCCAATACAATTCCGATGAGCATAAGAATTTATCTAGCGATCGAACCACTCCTTTTCCACACCCTCTCATAATCATGGGTCTCTCTAAATGCTGATGCCACACCCTCTCATAATCATATCTCGACGGGGTTATGTCATAAGTGTCTACACGAACACGAACACGAACACGATCAAGTAAGAAATCAAGAGAGCATGCAGCTGGTTCAAGAATCATAATACAGCAGTATTGTCCATTCTTTCGTCGAACAAGAGTTCGGTCGTTAAACAGAAGCTAGAGCTTAATACTTGCTTATTGTTTCGCTTGAAAGAGAAGGAAACCAAAATCCAGTTCTAAGCAAACTCTAGTGGCTTTAATGTTTAGTATAAAAAATTATAAACGTACTCGGCTCAATTTGATACGCATATATGATGATATCATGCTTTTAACAGACGTTAACAAAATTATAAGCATTGTTAATTTTCTTTATACAAAACTGGTTTATAATAATGCTGGATACTGTATAGTGTATATATGTTGCACGGGAATGGAAAAATTTCCGCAAAATGTTTTCGGAACGAGAAACATGTATTTTATAAAGTATATAAAGTTCCTCAAACTCTATATATAATGCTACAACTGATCTGTTAATAACTAAATAAATCAAATTAAGTATTTGTTATGTAATTATTTAGTTATTATGTTTTTAAAAACAAAAAGTAAACTTCCGTTAACTTTGGAAACACGCACGTTTTTAACGAATTTTCAAATTGTAAATTTAAGAAAACGTGGGAAAACAAGTTTCCTGATTTCTTACGAATTTTCGTTTTGAAAACGTTTCTGAAATAGATGGAGTTTTCATGCAATATAGATGTACAATTTACATAAGATTGTTTATGATATATTTTTTCTAATTAACATATTTAACGATTTTGAATTAAAATTTTAGCTTAAATTAATATACTAATACAATTTTTTTCAGAAAATCTGACGAGATCATTTTCTTTCTAAAAGTATATAATATTTGGGGATTTTATGAGATTTCCCAAATTATTTTATGCTCTCCTGCCTCGTGCGTCCAAAAGTTTGCGTTTTCTTCTCCCACACCTCCCCCCAAATCTAAATCATCATTTTAGGGTTCTTCCGATTAGGTTAAATCAGATCGATATCCACTCACATCTGATCTACGATTGAGAAAGATGTCTCAGAACGGGAAGCTGATCCCAAATCTGGACCAGAACAGTACGAGGCTCCTCAATCTCACAGTTCTCCAGCGAATCGATCCCTTCATCGAGGAAATCCTTATCACAGCCGCTCATGTCACCTTCTATGAATTCAACATCGAGCTCAGTCAATGGGTAAGTTTCAATCAACCATCGTATCTTATCTACTCGGAGACGCCTATGCATAATTCGATGTTTGCTTAGCCACGGACTGATCTGTTTTTTTTTTTTTTTTTTTTTTTTTTTCCGATTCAGAGTCGTAAAGATGTGGAAGGATCTTTGTTTGTTGTCAAAAGGTAAATTCTAACTCTCTAGTTATCTTTGAAGTGATCTGTGTTTACTATAATCGTTTAAAATCTGATGGATCCTTTTTGGTTTGTTTCAGAAGCACACAACCTCGATTTCAGTTTATTGTGATGAATCGCCGGAATACAGGTTAAGATTTTCTTCCCAGTTCTTGTTTAGCTTCTTTTTTAGTATTTTGACTATCTTGTTTCTGTTTAAGCTGAAATTTACATATAAGTAGTGGATTATATAGTTTCCTTTGATTGATTCTTAGTGGAAGAAGCATCAAAATGCTGTTTGAGTTAGTTCTCATGGATTTCCAATGAATTTGGTTAAAATTTGTTACTCTCTTTGTGATGATCGCCTAGCAGAAGTAGTGATCTGTAACAATGACCTTCGATTGTTAGGAGAGACATATGTTGATATAGCTTACCTGGCAACTCTTAGAAATTATTTTGAGTTCTTGATTTAGGGAGTCAGTATTGGTAATCATCAGTGTGTTGTTGGTTTTGTCTATCCAGATAATCTGGTGGAAAATCTACTGGGAGATTTTGAGTGTGAAGTCCAAGGTCCATATTTACTTTACCGTAATGCATCTCAAGAAGTAAATGGCATTTGGTTCTACAATATACGTGAGTGTGAGGAGGTAGCACATCTTTTCGAGAGGTAAACATAGTTTACTACTGTGCATCATGTAGTGTTTTCATGAAGACGTTTGTTGTAGATTTCTTTAACCATTTTATGACTTAAATGCTCAACATTCTATAATATATGTATCCATCCATACTCGTTGTATCTTCGCCTAATGGTTCCTTGGCGTGACAGAATACTTAGTGCATATTCCAAGGTGAACCAAAAGCCAAAAACGCCGTCTGCGAAAAGGTAAGATCTTCATGTTTAGATCTTAATTGTTCACCTGGTATCTTTGTGATATGTTATAACTGAGTTAATTTTTTTCTATCAACGGCAGCGAGTTTGAGGTATTGGAAGCTGTGCCTACAATGGCAACTATGGATGGTCCTCTTGAACCATCTTCAACTGCTAGGGATGCCCCTAAAGATCATGATTTCGTCAACTTCTTCAGCGTAAGTCTCTATAGCTTTTGTTAATACGCTCACAGTCTCACACTATCACCTCCTATTAGTTCTAGATTCTTGAAATTTCTTTTACTTATGGGAAAATCGCACAAACCGTTGATTTTCTTGCTTCAACTCCTCAAATCGAAATTCTGAATTTATCAATAATGTTGTTGGCTTGACTACAGTCAGCGATGGCTCTTGGAAACACTTCGAGTGCGTCGGCAAGTGAACCACCGTACCAATCATCGGCAATTCCTCAACAACCTCACCAACCCACAGTTGCCCCTCCTGCAGCGCCAGCTGCACCACCTCCACAGATAACATCACCACCGCCTCTACTATCCTCCTCTCCCCTGATGTCTCTCTTTGACCACAACCCTGACCTTATCAGCACCAACTCCAACTCCAACGTTCATACGAACTTAGTGAACCCCTCTTTCTTTGGTGCCCCACGGATGATGGCACAGCCACACCCAACTCCTGGTGCATCCATGCCCACTGCTCCTCCTCTGAACCCTAACAATGCGACTCACCAGCACCGTCCATATGGTACTCCGGTGCTCCAGCCTTTCCCACCACCAACTCCACCACTATCACTCGCTCCTCAACCCAGTGGCCCGGTTATCAACAGAGACAAAGTCAAAGAAGCTCTTTTAGCGCTGGTTCAGGTTTGTCCTCTTTAACCACACACCACTTAACTTGAGCTGCTGCCCAAATCTAACGAGTTGCTGGTTTTGACAGGAGAATGAATTCATCGACATGGTGACTCGAGCTTTACAAAATGCACATCAACCATGAAGCTGAGGTGGTGGGTCGGCGTCTACCTGTAGTTAAAATGTAGTTTTGTTTTGTTTGATACCTTTGAACAAAGTGTTTTCAGAACCTCCACAAGGAATTTTATAAGATTCTGTACTCTCCCTTGTTTCTCTTTTTAACTCATGGACCTACTTTTCACCTATTCTTCTTCTAGCCGAGTGATTTCCCTTTTGTTTCATATATGTTAATCAAGTTTTCACAAAACTCTTTTCACTTATAGAAGTTGGAACTCAACTCTTTCTACATTTTTAAAACTTAAGAGTTGAGACATTTTTGAATCAAATAGCAAATAGCAAAGAAACCTTCATTGTGAGTAATAATATTACAAAGAGAACCAAGAGAGAGTGAGAGATATAGTACAACTGGAATTACAAAGAGGGAATGATTTATTTTTGGAAATAATCCTCGGTCCTGCCCTTGAAACCAATCTGTCCGAAGGTGAGGCAGATGAAGAGGCCTAAGTGCCACGTAATCAACCACAACCAGAACTGTGAAGTGAGAGCTGGAGGAGTAGGGAAGTGAGCGAGCTCAGTTCCGATGCTGTCGAAGAAGAGACCCGTCAGGCTCTTCCCGTTAATCACCGGAATGCTTGATGGAGCTAACCATCCTACCAGGCCAAATCCCACCACGTTCAGATCTCTCCTCAACCAGTTCCTCTCAAAGCTTTTTGTTTTCATTTTTCACACAAATAAAACTATTATTAGGCTCACTGCACTAAAATGACCATGAAAATAAAGAGTAACTCACCAAGTGCATCTTCCTCCCGATGCTCCTGCGATTCTCAGAGGGTTCTTTGCTCTTAATGTTGGTTTTAAAAAGGCTATAAAAAAAGTCACCAGAATTACGATCAATATATATTACACGTTAACTCAATTATTCAGAGGATCAAAAGAGAAAGATAGTGAGAGTATACATGAAGAGAGGGGTCTGTGAGAAACAGATGATCCTGCGAGGCCTATCACCGTCGATGGGGTTGCAAATGTTGCTGCCATTTTTTTGTTCTTTGCTTCTTTCCTCCCAAACCGATGCCCTTTATTTTTCTAAAGTAAATACAAAAAACAAGAAATAAACTGATTTTGTGGACGCAGGCAGAGATTACGAAGATGTGTTATCAATCAATAGCTTTGTGACACCTCACTATTTTCTTTGATATTGTGGGTCTATGTTTTCATTCTTGGATAAGATTGATTCCAGATTTTTTTCTTTCTTTCACCTAAAAGAAGATAAAAAAGCAAGTTTACTTACCAAGCAATGAGTTGAAAAAAGCCCATAAAGAACACGGGAAAGCAACAAACTGCAATAAAGCCCATAACGAACAAAGTCCAAATCGCCGGCGAAATGGACTACAGCTTAGCGGCGGTGAAGGTGCTCAACTCCCAGCTCCGGGACGCTAAACCGACGCCTTCTCAGAACGCCACCTCACTAGGCGGCGTACTTTTTCAACGTGCTTGGTTACAGGTACCGATTTCCAACCATCCTCTCTCATCCTCACAATTTTCTCAATCTCGGAATTGTTTCCGATGACATCGGTTCCTGTGTTGCAGGGCGTTTTGATCTCCTGTGGCGGCGATAACCCTGTGGTCCTTGATGACGGGACCGGTCTTGTCGAGCTCAGACTCTCCAGCGACTTTGCCACCCGTCAATGGAAATTAGGTTCCCTTGCCATTTTCATTTTGATTCAGCTTACATGTTTTAGTGGCTATGATTCGTATCAAACCGTGAAGAATCACATCTCTGTGCACAGGAATGTACCTGATGGTTGTTGGTGTCTACGTTATCCGTACGGGAGAGATACCTCTGATTAAGGTTATTTATTCCTCCCTGCAACTTTTTTGTTCTTTTGATATGGACATTGGATCAGTCACTGTGATTCTTTGTGGTTTTAGCATAGTAAGATTCATATTCTCATGTGATGTTAGGAGTGGGAGTATCATCAGAATCAACTGCCATCAGTTGTCCTGCATTTACATGCAATGCTTTGATTTTGCTGCTGTATTACTGAAACCGTCACTGTTGTTTGTTCTACTGAATCCAGGTTCATAAGATGGTTGACCTCTCGGGAAGCCCGGACCGTGAAGCCATGTGGTATTTAGAAGTCATGGACGCATACAGACTCTTCTATGAGCCCTTGATCCAAGAGTTCTCTTGATTCATAAGTTAACTTTTTATTCTGTAGTTTTTCTCTTCTCTTTCCTTTGGTTTTAGCTTTTGACAGACCAGACTAATCATCTTTGTGGAGAAAATCATGGAGATATGTATATATACAGCTTTTCATGTTTCACAAAATGCCATTCATGGCTACAAAATTGTTCTACAAGTTAGATATATCAAACAAACTTAAATAGTTGCTTCCACTTCGACTTAGAGCTCCTCTCATGCCTCCTCTACAGCCTAAGAATCTCTCTCACGTGAGGAAAAAACGCAGCAGGACGAACACAATAAGGTTGAAACACCATGAGAAGTGCCTCTGCGTCGACCTTAAACCTTTTCCTCAGTACAACACCTGAGAAGAATTTACAAGAAACATAATGGTCAAGCCCTTGAGCCAGATTCCTCCACAAGTCCAAGAAGTCCTTCGGGTTCATGTTTAGCTGAAGAACACATAGATGCCTTCTTAAACTGTCCAATGCTTCTGCAACTCCCTGTGACACTGTTACATCGCTGGAGCCGGCAATGTCATCTTCCTCTTCCCAAGAAACTACATTGTCGTTGAAGTGATCGCTGCAAAGATTGTCGAACTGGTGGAGACAAGCTGTTATGATCTCCATAAGCCAATTGGTTTCCAACTCAACAAGGCCTTTTAGTTCTTCCCCAAAAAAGCAGCCATGGCAGGAAGAAGCTTCAGGTTTTCTATCAACTATGACACTAGTTTCTGCAGCCCACATTTCCACAAGAACCACATCATCACACCATTCTCGTAGTTTCGATTCAAGAAATCGAGCAGCGTTAATCGGTCCACAGGCTTGTTTCAGTGTATCTTCAAATGAATTGTCCTCTGAGAAATCAATCTTACCAAACTCCAGTAACAGGATTTTGAATACATACCAGAGGAATTTGGTGGCGGTTGCTCTTACAAATTGGATCCTTGGCAGAATTTCCGGTAGAGATAAACCATGTTCTATCAACGTCCAAGTCCTACTAAGAAAAGACTCTGCTACAAACGGCGCTTTATAATCTTCTCTTGTAGATAGAACAAACCGTGAGTTGGATTCATCACCAAGTCTTGATCTCTCACTATCAACAACTAACCAAGCCTTCTCATTCTTGATATCTTCTTTAAGTTTTCTATAAGCATCCTTCAGCTCAATCTTCCCCCACGTCTTGAGCCACTCAGGTTTCTTACAAAACAGTCCCATCACTGACATACCTTGAGAAAACGCAACCGAAGAGCCAAGAAAAATGTCTGAATCTACAAACGACTGCATTCGTTTATCAAACGTAACCATCTGATCGACAAGATGGAACCACGACGAAACAACTTCAGGTTTCATTTGCTTCTCCTTCTTGAACGTTTCTACAAGACCAGGAAAAACCTTTTTCTCTAAGAAACAGGATAACATCTGGACCATAGCTGAAACCCAAGCTTCTTTAGCACTACAGCTCACTAACCTAGCTCTGTCAATCAAAGGCTGTAAAGTATCGTCAATCCCATCAGCAAAGTCTCTTGTAACTTTATAAACAAGTTCAAAGATAAACTCAGGTTGCTCAGCCCACTTCATGAAATGATACTCCAACCGAGATGCAACCGGTATCACCAGCTCATCGGTCGCCCAAAGTCCAACACTATCATCATTTCCTTTAGGCGTATGCTTCCGTTGTTCCTTCATTGTGTTAAGTTTCTGTAAACCACAGAGGAGTAGAAAGCTCTGGGAATAAGCCTCCTTTTGATCTTCTTGCATCAGTAGTAGAGGATTAGGGATGCTAGCAACCTCTCCATTATCGACTTTAGATGTTGCCAGTTTCGGTGGCCAGCCAAGAGATGAGAGAAAAGCTCGGTGGTCTGCGATGATTTGTGGCCGTAAGATGGACAAACTCTTATCTACTCTACTATCAACAGAATCTACAAGGTGGCGCCATTGTGAGTGATGCCTTGTAACATCACCGAGTATTTCTTCAATCTCATTCATTGTCTTAATGGCATGATTGGACCTATTTTGCTTGAATGCAAGATCCTACATTTTCAAGATAAGAAAAAAAGTTTGAATCTTCAAAAATTTACAAGTCATGACTCAATCAATATAAGTAGTGAAAATTCAAAAGCTTTACTTGAAGCATACTTCCTTTGCGATTACTTATTGGATGAAACACTGAATCTTCAAGATCTCCAACTAGACTTTCCAACTTTAAGGCAGTCACTGAAAAGTTGAGATTTTTATTAAGATTAGCTCTTGATGTTGTACAAGAGCAAGAATCGAGCGCAAACTCACCGAAGTATCTTTGCGTATTCTGAATTCGACACAATTCCTCAACGAGTTGATGTAACTCCTGATTCGTTTGATTTCCGAGAGCATCAGTACCACTCTCAGCTACAAAATGAAATTGGGAGACAAATCAGAAAAAAGTAATAATCTTCAACAACCAAAAAAAAACACGAGGAATGGTGTCACTGACAGAGACTGAGGAGGCTCAATTTCAAATCATCGAGTGAAACTTTGGCGGTAAGAGAGGTGGAGATCCAGGAGACGGCGTGTTTCGTCAGATCGGTCCGGAGGTGGAGAAGACGGTCGTTTAGATGAGAAGAGTCGTGTTTCAGATGAGACGTCAGATTCGTAGAGCAGAGGAGGAGATCTCGGAGGTCTTCAAAATCACCGTCGAGAAAGCCTAACGCTAGAACGGGAAGGTCGGTCGGATTTGGCAAGACGAACGACAGTGGAAGACGATGTTCCATCGGAAAGCGGTTTGCCGGGAAACGGTTGCGCTCTTTCGGTAAGAAACTAAGAATATTAGGACCAAACTTGTCATTTATCTATTTTGTGAAAATCGTATTTAAAAAAGATATTTTTTAAGCTTCTCCGTGCAGCCGGTGCGGACGGCGGCTGGCGATTTTCTTACCCTAAGGAAAGCCCAACACTTTAGAAACACACACATAACACAACGAATTTCATCTCAAAGGTTTAGACTTTTAGGGTTTACGGAGAGAAGAGGCTGAGAGAGATGGGGAAGGAAAAGACGATGTTGGGGCGATCTCTGGTGAAGCACCACAACCATATGATTCAAGACTCGAAAGACAAAGGCAAATACTACAAGAATCTCCAGAAGAAAGTTCTCGAATCGGTGACTGAGGTCAGCGACATCGACGCCATCATCGAGCAGGCCGAGGAGGCAGAGCGTCTTTTCATCATTAATCACAGCAACACCACACCTTTGCCCATCAATGCGTAAGCTTCTCTTCTTTTTCATATATCAAATTCCTCTCTTTTTGTGTCATTTGCTTTGAAATTGGTATCTTCGTAGCTCAACTTGTGACTGTTAACCTTTGAGACTTTGAGCTCCGTTTGTTGAGAGACCAATAAATACGATAATTTCAATTTGTGTTTTCTGAGATTCGATATATTGTTTTGTTATAGTGGAGACTGGAAAACAATTACTTGTCACCGAGCCTCGTTTGAATACATCTAAACCTTCTTATGGTGGTTCTACTGAACAAGTCCATTCGCATATGTATGCTCACTTGGCATGTTTCTCTAATGTTTGTTGGTACAGAGACACAAATTCCAGCTCAAGTGTTATAGCAGCTGAAGAGTGGAGAGAGCAACAGAAGATAGAGGAGGCTTTACATGCCAGTAGTCTTCAAGTGCCTCGAAGGCATGTAATTTCTAATTCTCTTTTTATTGATTTTTTTCCCCCTTTTTTCATAGCTCGGAGATTGACTTAATTCTTTTTTCCCCTTGTAATTCTTCTTCATCTTCAGACCTCCATGGACACCGGAAATGTCAGTGGAAGAACTTGATGCAAATGAAAAACAAGCTTTTCTCAATTGGCGCCGGATGCTTGTCGGGTTAGCTTTTTGTTTTACCCCATCTTAGTGACCACTTGTTGCTTCTTTAGTGTGTTTATCATAGTGGTGATAGTAAATGAATAATTTAGTCAGTGATCTCCTGTATTGTGGTTTAGGCTTGAGGAAAATGAAAAGCTTGTGTTGACTCCATTCGAAAAGAACCTCGACATCTGGAGGCAGCTTTGGCGAGTGCTTGAACGCAGTGATTTGGTAATTCTTTGAGAAAGTGTATTCATTAAGCTCAGTTTTATGAATTTTAGCTACATGCAAAACAATTTAGGTTATCTAATACTTATCCTTTTTCAGATTGTTATGGTAGTTGATGCTAGAGATCCACTGTTTTACCGTTGCCCTGATCTTGAGGCATATGCTCAAGAACTTGATGAGCATAAGAAAATAATGCTTCTAGTTAACAAGGCAGATCTTTTGCCTCCTTATGTCAGGTAAGCCTTGCTACTTTGTCTCTTAACCTTTATTTGATCATCTAATCAATTGGTTTGCCTCTTTAACATATCTGTAGGGAGAAATGGGCAGAATATTTCCGCCTCAACGGCATTCTGTTCGTCTTCTGGTCAGCCATAGTTGCTACAGCGACCCTAGAAGGTAAAGTCTTGAAAGAGCAATGGAGAAAACCAGACAACTTTCAAAAGACAGATGATCCAGAAGTTGTGATCTACGGTAGGGACGAGCTGCTGAGTCGTTTGCAATACGAGGCTCAAGAGATCGTCAAACTGAGGAACTCTAGAGCTGCAGCATCATCACAGTCATCGACTGTTGAACCTCAACGTGAAAATGCCGTCGTTGGATTCGTCGGATACCCAAATGTGGGAAAGAGTTCAACGATCAACGCATTGGTTGGTCAGAAGAGGACAGGTGTCACCTCTACACCGGGGAAGACAAAGCATTTCCAGACTCTGATCATCTCTGAGGAGCTCATGCTTTGTGATTGCCCTGGTTTAGTCTTCCCTTCGTTCTCAACTTCAAGATACGAAATGATTGCTTCTGGTGTACTTCCTATTGATCGGATGACGGAGCACCGTGAAGCCATCAAGGTGGTGACTGACAAGGTCCCTCGCCGTGTGCTCGAGACTGTTTACAACATTACTCTCCCCAAACCTAAACCGTACGAGCGCCAGTCTCGTCCTCCTCATGCTGCAGAGCTTTTGAAAGCTTACTGTGCTTCTCGTGGCTACGTTGCCTCTAGTGGACTACCTGATGAGACGAAAGCAGCGAGGCATATTCTGAAAGATTACATTGGAGGTAAGCTGCCGCATTTCGCAATGCCACCTGGAATGGCTCAAGGTGGTGATGAAGTGGATGTAGAGGAGGAAGCTTCAGAAGCCGGCTCGGATTCTGAGGAGGAGAGTACAGTAGGAGAGGAGACGGAGAGCGAGCAAGTTCCTGGTATTGATGATGTTTTAGAGGATCTGAGCTCGTTTGATCTGGCGAACGGGCTTGCGTCGTCGAAGAAAGTGAGGGAGAAGAAGGAGAGCGCGTCGCATAAACAGCACAAGAAGCCACAGAGGAAGAAGGATAGGAACTGGAGAGTGCAGAACACGGAGGATGGTGATGGAATGCCTGTGGTTAGGGTTTTCAAGAAACCTGCCAACACTGGGCCTCTCACCATGACGCGGTGATTTTCAGATTGTCGTCATCATCCCAACAAGATGATCATTTTTTCCAAAGTTTTATGTTTGATACAGATGTTGTATTGGCGTGGCAAGTTTTTTTGTTTTTATTTTATGTAAGAACAGTTGAACCAGTCTCAGTTTACTCGAGTAATGTTTTTGTTTTTCTTAGTCTTTTTTGTGGAAAAAAAAGAGAGAAGGATGGAGAAGTGACGTTGCTATAGCTTTGGAGTAGCCCATCATGTTTGTTTTTGAGGATATGACAGCCATTAATAGAGTTTTCATGGATCTTCAAATTATTTCTATTTCGGTTCTGACTCACTCAATCGAGAGAAACTTTATTACATTTCAATGGCCGAATTTTTGTTAGCTTGCGTCATCCTCATCCCCGATATTATTTGACAAAACTGATTTATCAAATAATTTCTAACATTAATTAATTGATCAACATAATATCTTACATATCGACTGTCATATTTCACACTGAAAATCTTTAATCAGACAGTAAATCCGTTTTTGCTAGAATCGTAATCTGTACGTATAAGATTAAAGAAAAAAGACAGCTATGTGATTAAAGAAATAGAAATGTTTTAATAAATGTGTGTGCTCGATATAGAAGGCGTCGATACAGGTTTAGATATACATAGAGAGAGAGAGAGAGAGAGAGAGAGAGAGTGGAGGCTTGGTCCGTTTGGCGTTGAGTTCGTATTCTCTTCCTCTCTTCGCGTTTCGATCCTTTCGCGTCGTCGTCCTCGAGGGTTAATATACACTGATTAGGCTTTTATTATATACTTTTAGAGAGAGAAACTTTATATAAAAAAAAAAGTGGGGTCGAATTTAAGCTTTTCCAAATTCTGTGAATGTCTGCTTCCTCTATTTTTCCTGGAAAATAACTGTTTCTGTTATCAGAAGAAGCTCGAGGATCTGACCGGGGAAAGCTAGGGTTTTCGATTTTACCCGGAATCTCTCGGGAGCGGGAAGTGAACGGAGATATGTTGTTCATCGGAGATGCGTGTTTGTGCCAATTTTAGGTGGATCGGTGTGAGTTAGATTTACTTTTTGAAGCTTGACGGGTTCAATAATGGATGAGGATTCGTCTATGGTGCCTGAGAACGATCAGGATCGGGAGTCTCAGAGCCTTGAGGGAGCCCAATCTCCTTTGCCTATGGAGAGGGAGACGCCCCAGCTGATGAACGACCAATCACCGGCGGATGGCGGATCGGTGCCACCGCTTTCGTGTCCTGACCCGACGAGCTCCCAACCGGCCGCAGCTGTGGGACAGGAGCAGCCGGCGCAAGTGGTTGGTCCGAGGTGTGCACCTGCGTATTCCGTGGTGGATGCTTTGATGGATAAAAAGGAAGACGGGCCTGGCCCGAGGTGTGGCCACACGCTGACGGCTGTGCCGGCCGTTGGTGAGGAGGGGACGCCTGGTTACATTGGTCCTCGCCTTGTGCTGTTTGGTGGTGCGACGGCCCTTGAGGGTAATTCTGGGGGCACCGGAACTCCAACTTCAGCTGCTGGAAGTGCCGGCATTCGTGCGTTTGCCTTCTCCTTTGCCTCATTTCTGGATGAATTTTTGTTTCTCCGCTCTCCATTTGCCTTACTTCTTTCACTATTCACTCCTCTCGCGAAGTTGTAGTTTTTAGATCACTAATTCTACTAGTCCGCTGATAGTTATTGCTTGATTCCTAGACTTGCCCGGTTGTATTAAATAAATTAGGGTGTTGTTTTCTATGCAGGGCTAGCTGGTGCGACTGCTGATGTCCATTGTTATGATGTCCTTTCTAATAAGTGGACTAGGTGAGCATAAATTGTGAATTTCTTTGGCTCTTCATGAGTTCCTGTCCTTTTTTTAAAAGTGTGGATAGTAGTTAATTTGATGAATTGAGGCTACAGGCTTACACCCTTTGGCGAACCACCAACCCCGAGAGCCGCGCATGTTGCAACTGCAGTGGGGACCATGGTAGTTATTCAGGTAAGGGAGGAACGATGTTATTATATTATGTGTGTGGTGTAAGCTTATCAAATTGAGGATGATAATTTTGAGTCAGCTATGAAAGTTCTTATGAGTTCTCTGTGTGGTGCAGGGTGGAATTGGTCCTGCTGGATTATCAGCTGAAGACCTTCACGTTCTTGATCTCACTCAACAACGGCCACGATGGCACAGGTATAAAAATAAACCTCCCACTAAAGTGTGATTTTTTTTGTTTTTTTTTACCATTTTGTGTCTTGATATGGATACTATGTTCTCTATCCAGGGTTGTTGTTCAGGGTCCTGGACCAGGACCACGTTATGGACATGTCATGGCACTTGTGGGACAAAGGTATCTCATGGCAATTGGTGGAAATGACGGTAAGCAATTCAATGTTGGCTTATTCTCATTGCTTTATGTTAGAGCGTCATACTCTCCTCAAAGCTCTTCGTTACTGAATTCCATTTAAAACTATTAGGCAAACGTCCACTTGCTGATGTATGGGCCTTGGATACTGCCGCCAAGCCTTATGAATGGCGTAAGCTGGAACCAGAAGGGGAAGGTCCACCTCCCTGCATGTAAGTTTGTTTAGACTCCTTTATGAGTGTCTGCTTTGCGCTGGTGTAATAATGTTTTTTTTGCTGTTTGTATGTTGTACCTAGGTATGCAACTGCAAGTGCGCGGTCTGATGGACTTCTTCTCCTCTGTGGTGGAAGGGATGCAAACAGTGTGGTAAGTGGAAGAGTTTCGTTTCTGTAATGCTCAGTTTACTCTTTGAAAACAGATGCTGAACCACTTATAGAGCCATGATTCTAGAATTTTGGTTTTTGATCTGTTCTGAGATAGAAATGGGACCGTCAGAGAGTTAGTCTAGTGTTATAGAGTTTGAGTTTTGTCACTATGAGCAAATGCAAAAGGATTTTAAGTCTTCCCAGCTCTAAGAAGTCGTGTTTTAACACCCACTCTAAAGAAGTAGCGAGCATAATTTTGTACAAAATTTTGTGAAGCTTCTATGACAGAAGGAACTATAACTTCTATTGTCAACAAGGGGGATGAGCTTATTATCAATTATTTGTTTATACATGACCACTATTTTGAGAAGTTGTCATTTTTGCCTAGAGTGAAATTTGAAACTTCAATGGACTGCCTTTATCTTGATTGTTTGATTGAAGGGCTTAATATGTTTTTCTCTACACTTGAATTGATAGCCACTGGCCAGTGCATATGGACTTGCTAAGCACAGAGATGGACGTTGGGAATGGGCCATAGCCCCTGGTGTTTCACCATCTGCCAGATATCAGCATGCAGCAGTATGGGTTGCTTCTTTCTATTTGGGTTTCTTATCTGGCCTCAGCAGAATAATTAAACCGATTGCTGGATTATCTAGGTCTTTGTAAATGCAAGACTTCATGTTTCCGGTGGGGCACTTGGTGGTGGACGCATGGTTGAAGACTCGTCCAGTGTTGCAGGTTAGCAAACGAAGAGAAGCAATCTGATGTTTGTGCTGTTGGATTATAATTGAGGAAATACTTAGGTTTCCTTGATTGGACCATTTTTAGTCTTCTGTAGGCCACTGTTGACATATATTTCTATATGCTGTTATTTTTGCCAATAGTGAAGCATTTAAGCCGTTGTTGAACTGTGTCTTGTATACACGAGACCTGTGAATAATTGTATTATAACTAAAAAAGTGCATTGAGTGCATCTACAGTTATCTGATTATTTCGTCTATTGTCTTTGTGCAGTGTTGGATACAGCAGCAGGTGTATGGTGTGATACGAAATCAGTTGTTACTAGTCCCAGAACGGGCAGGTACAGTGCTGATGCAGCTGGTGGTGATGCTTCTGTTGAGCTGACTAGGCGTTGTAGGCATGCTGCTGCTGCAGTCGGTGATTTAATATTTATCTATGGCGGTTTACGTGGAGGTAAGGAGAACAGCTAGGCAAAACTTATGCCAATGTACCTTTTGATGTTCTGATACATACCACTATTGTTTGGATTTCACACACTGTCAATGTAATTTGTGCATTCTTCTCCATGAAGATGAACCTTTTTCTATGATTGGGTTTTCCTGTAAATGTGGCATAACTGTAGAATGACACTTTCTTAACTAGGTACTGTTTTTCGTCTTCACAACTTAACTATATATTTGATGCGATAGGGGTGTTACTCGATGACCTATTGGTTGCTGAAGATCTTGCTGCTGCGGAAACAACATATGCTGCCTCTCATGCTGCTGCAGCTGCGGCAACAAATTCGCCACCTGGTCGGTTACCTGGTAGGTATGGTTTTTCAGATGAAAGGAACAGGGAGCTGTCAGAATCAGCCGCTGATGGTGCTGTTGTGCTGGGAAGTCCTGTTGCACCCCCAGTAAATGGTGATATGTATACTGATATAAGCTCTGAAAATGCAATACTTCCAGGAACTCGGTTAGCTAACCTCCTTAAAAATTGTTTTAACTTGTTCTGTTTTTGCTGATACAGTGATGTATTTACTGACAACTATCCAACACAACTTTTTAGGAGAACTAGCAAGGGTGTGGAGTATCTCGTTGAAGCATCGGCAGCAGAAGCTGAGGCAATCAGTGCTACGTTGGCTGCAGCCAAGGCACGACAGGTCAATGGTGAAGTTGAACTCCCAGATAGGGATTGTGGCGCAGAGGCTACACCTAGTGGTACATCTTCGCTAATCAAGCCAGATTCTATGGGAGTTACTCTTAATCCTGCAGGGATTCGTCTTCATCATAGAGCCGTGAGTGTCACACTTATCCTATTGAATAAATCTATTCTTGCAATATCATTACTAGTATTTCTTTCCCCAGATTTTCATACTAATGCATTTTGGGTTTACAATGGTTCTGGCACTTTGTTATTAGGTGGTGGTTGCTGCAGAAACTGGTGGCGCCTTAGGTGGAATGGTTAGACAATTATCCATCGATCAATTTGAAAATGAGGGACGGCGTGTTAGTTATGGAACACCAGAAAGTGCAACAGCAGCAAGGAAGCTATTAGATCGACAAAGGTCAATCAATAGTGTTCCAAAGAAGGTACAAATTTTGGTTCTCCACATAGAGTGCTGCAACAAAATCTTGTGATCCTAAATGTTGATTTTAAAACACATTATACATTTGGTAAATTTTATGATGAAAAGAGTAATCTTGTGCTATTATACAATACTTTCGTGCGGGGGCATCGATTGCTGTGATAAAAAATCGAAAGTATTGTCAAATGCTATAAGGTATATACTGGTTTGCATCACTGGTGAAGCTTCATTTGCATCCTCTATTTTGTTCAATTGGGAATTGGGTACTTAGGATTTTCTTAGTAGTTGGGCCAGGTGTCTATTCAGGGTCTTTTAATTGACTATTACCTTATTATGTGTTAATAGGTTATAGCTCATCTTCTGAAGCCTCGTGGGTGGAAGCCTCCAGTTCGACGCCAATTTTTCTTAGATTGCAATGAAATAGCTGATCTTTGTGATAGTGCGGAACGTATCTTCTCAGGCGAACCAACTGTATTACAGCTTAAAGCTCCTATAAAAATATTTGGTGATCTGCATGGACAGTTTGGGGATCTTATGCGCCTTTTTGATGAATATGGTTCTCCATCTACAGCTGGAGACATATCGTGAGTGCAAATTCTGACATCATTGACCGCTACCTCTTTTACGATTGATATTTTTTGCGGGGACATTACTCATTCTGTTGTATAATTGTCAGGTACATCGATTACCTCTTCTTAGGGGACTATGTTGATCGGGGTCAACACAGTCTGGAAACAATCTCCCTTCTGCTTGCATTAAAGGTAGTTCTAAGCGTATTATTGTTAATATTGACTAGATGCAGGTATCCTTGTTGCTTGAACATAGTGGTTTGATGTTCTATTGTCGGCACTGCAGGTTGAGCACCAGCATAACGTACACTTAATTCGGGGCAACCATGAAGCTGCGGATATCAATGCCCTTTTTGGCTTCCGAATAGAGTGTATTGAGCGGATGGTATGTATTCTGCTTATAAATCTCTTGTATCCATGTTTAGTCGTCTCATGTTGAGGATGCTTTGCAGGGTGAACGTGATGGAATATGGGTGTGGCACCGAATAAACCGTTTATTCAATTGGCTACCTCTGGCTGCATCGATCGAGAAGAAAATCATTTGTATGCATGGGGGTATTGGTCGTTCTATAAATCATGTGGAGCAGATAGAAAATATTCAACGTCCAATTACCATGGAAGCTGGCTCCATTGTGCTCATGGATTTATTATGGTCAGTCCATGTCATTTTAATGTTGTCCTGGTTAGTGTTTTGGTCCAAGTCTTACTAGTTTGTTAATTTGGAATTTTTTAGGTCGGATCCAACTGAAAATGACAGTGTCGAAGGTTTAAGGCCAAATGCTAGAGGCCCTGGATTGGTTACTTTTGGGGTGAGTACTTATCCTCCATCAGATCGCTTGTCTCTTTCTTTTTACGCTCTCACAATGTATTATCTGTGCAATGTTCTGCTATCATTAAACCCTAGGTCTCAGATAAATTTCTGGTCATATATGATATATTTTTCTTGAAACCGAGGAATATAATCTAGTTTCCTTCCAGTTACTATTTACCATATGAAGAAGTGTTAATTGCTTTGCATTTCTTTTCTTTGTAAACCTGTTCTATTATTCACCGAGACTTGGAAATTGCAGCCTGACCGTGTCATGGAGTTCTGCAACAACAATGATCTTCAGTTGATTGTGCGTGCACACGAATGCGTGATGGATGGATTTGAGCGTTTTGCTCAGGGGCATTTGATAACGCTCTTTTCCGCTACAAACTATTGTGGTATGTACATGGTCTCACTAATGCAACAACATGATTAGATATTTTGATGGGATTTGTTTATTTTTTTGTTTTTGGTTTAGTTAATAGTCATATGCTTAACCTCAGGTACTGCAAACAATGCTGGGGCTATCTTGGTATTGGGGAGAGATCTTGTAGTGGTTCCTAAGCTCATTCATCCGTTACCTCCAGCAATGTCACCTGAAAATTCACCAGACCATATAGAAGACACATGGATGCAGGTTCCTATTACTTCGCTTCACTAGTGAATCTTTTAGTCCATAGTTTTGACATGAAAAGTTGGTACTTAGCGTAGTATTGGCTTTTTTTTTGTTGGCAGGAGCTGAACGCAAATAGGCCAGCGACACCAACAAGAGGACGCCCACAAACTGCAAATGAGAAAGGAGGTTCTCTAGCTTGGATGTAAGGCACAGGAAGAGGCACTCGTGCACATAGAAAATCGCACCCACACACACTTGTAACATCTGCCTCCTGATGTTGCTCATGTTTGTGTACAGAAAAGATGAGCGATAGACAGGCGAGAGAAACACGATGAGGTCTGGAGATATCAGTGGGTGTGTATATTGAGAATTGAGATGAATGAAGGTGTAGTGAAGTCAGTTTTGGTGGTGGTTTTGTAGTGATTTTTAGAGTTTATTCGTTCGGGCCTTATAGTGTCCTCTCTTTCAATTTTTATTCAGTCTGTTTTTCTTTTCTTTCTATAATATCTTTCCTTTTTCTCATCTTCAATTGGTTTTTTACCATTTCGTTTTCGTTTGTGGTATAGTTTCTTTGGCGAGTGGAAAATGGTCGACATACGTATGATCAGTAGTGGTGGGATGTATTAGTTATCTTTTTTATTTATTCTGTATAATAGTCACGTTGGGAAATTTTGTGTATTCTTTTTTGTTTTGTCAATCATACTTTGTACCGTTTGTGTTGATATCATGAATACGGAAAATTTTCATGGCTCCCTTTGATTTAAGTCACATTCTCTAATCTAAGTCAAAACAAAAAGGAATTGACCTTCTCAATTGGTTTAGGAATCACTTTAACATTGTTGATAGTTACTTACACCATTTGCGTAGCTAAATGTTAGATTGTGTGGTTAGGAGGAATAATAATTGAAAGTTGAAAATGAATTTGTGTCCCATATGCCTAAGGTTTGAATTGTTGTAGAAGTTTTATATGTAAAGAAAAAAAGGTTTTCTTGACCAAAATAAGATAAAAAAAAAACAATATAAAACGAAAGTTGGTTTGTACGAATGGGGTAATGAGTTCCGTACGTACGTTGAGTTGATGCCATGCCAAGTTGGCGGGCGTGTAACTTGGTGCAAAAAGCAACACCTGCTCTATGTTTCCGCGTTCTAGCCATGTTATGTTTACCTTTACCTTTACCTTCTCATCTAATATTATTTTTAACAATACATAAATCTCATAAATCTATATGTCGTTTTCTTGTCAAGAAAAAGAGAATACTGGTGGACATGGTCATTATTATACACATAATATAAATTAGAGAATTGGTAAGATTATCTGAGATAGGTCTAAATTTGGTGAAGTTAATATGTGTGGGATTTAATTCGCTGAGTACCTTATGTGAATGAGCAAATAGACAGAATATCCGAAGACTTTGAAAGAGAGAAAGCGATGGGGATAAATCATAAATGACAATTGAACTATCCTTTTATTTGTAGTTTGTCATGATTAGTATATAGTCATATCAATAACCTAAACTGATAGAACGTTCATTCCATTATTTGTTTGTCCCTACAATTATGTTCATAACTGGAAATAAGATAATATTTCATTCGATAACACATTTGTAATTAATCAATTTTACAAACTAAACTATCTCCATGAAACTCTTTATAGAATTTTTTTTAATATATATAAATGGGTACTTTTGGGACTCTAATTCATATGATCTGATTCAATACATTTCTATTTCAAGCTCAAAAGGAACTATATATTCTAGGTAATTAGCCATGATAATATACTTAAACCAATTCGATGGAAATTTCCTTATCTTTATGTCTCTCATTTTTATATTAGTGATTTTTCAATTTCTGAAGACAACTTTTTTTGTAACGACGATTCAAAATGAATGACTTGTGAACTATGAATTTTTTGATAAACTTAATATTATTTTGATGTACACACAGCAACTTTAAAAATAGGCAGATCATATGTTGGAAAGCACTATGTAATTTGAAAACAATTCTTTTGGACGTGAACTTTTACTGGCAAATTTGGAAATAAATTAAGGCGTGCTACTAATGGCTCTGCTTTTAAATATCGGATAAAATCAAAGTAGAATTTGGTCACGTAAGTACTCTCTACCTCTAATTAATAGTACTCTGTCTCTCTAATTAAAATTACAATTTCTAACCACTGTAACCCTCAAACTTCGAATTTAGAAAGTACAACGCACCACTGATTTTTTTATTTAATAATAAAATAACATTTCATGAGTCACAATCCTAAACAAGAGTCCTTCTTGCTCTTTATAAATAACATCGACCCATCTAGACAACACAACAAGGCATCTTCTACTTCTTCCCCTCTTTCTGAAACGAATCATAGAGAAGCAAAAACTGTTGAGAGGTGAGTGATCAACAAATGGAGAAAGTGAGAGAGATAGTGAGAGAAGGGAGGAGAGTAGGAAAAGAAGACCCGAGAAGAGTAGTTCATGCTTTCAAAGTAGGACTTGCTCTTGCTTTGGTCTCTTCCTTCTACTATTACCAACCTCTCTACGATAACTTCGGTGTCAATGCAATGTGGGCTGTTATGACAGTCGTTGTCGTCTTCGAATTCTCAGTAGGTTAGTCCTTCATGTGACCAGAGCCAGCTACTTTCTAACATTAGAACGGTCTAGTTGTATTGAAAATGTTGCTATAATTGTTGATTTTGACGCTTTGGCTTGGTGTGTACGTATTTAGGGGCCACACTTGGGAAAGGAATAAATAGAGCAGTGGCAACATTAGTAGCGGGAGGACTAGGAATCGGAGCTCACCACCTAGCAAGTTTGTCTGGTCCAACAGTAGAACCTATTCTTCTTGCCATCTTTGTCTTTGTGCAAGGTAACAACACTCATGCATATCTTTTTAAGTTTTCTGGCTTTGGCCCATAATCCTCACCAGTAACACTAATATTATTGATATGTGCAGCTGCGTTGTCGACGTTCGTGAGGTTCTTCCCACGTGTGAAGGCAAGATATGATTATGGGATATTGATATTCATATTGACCTTCTCACTGATATCAGTGTCGGGGTTTAGAGAGGACGAGATATTGGATTTGGCACATAAGAGACTATCGACAGTGATAATGGGAGGAGTCAGTTGCGTCCTTATCTCTATCTTTGTCTGCCCTGTCTGGGCCGGACAAGACCTTCATTCTCTTCTTGCCTCCAACTCCGACACACTCTCCCACTTCCTTCAAGGTTTCTTTTCTTCTTTGGGTCAATAATAAAAAATAAGAAAAAACTTTTGTTTCTCAAAGTTTCTTTGTTTGGGAAAGGTTTCTAAATATTTTGTGGTATCTTGAAAAATATCCTTATATATTGGATTATGAATTAAATAAGTGGAAAATTGGCAGAATTTGGAGACGAATATTTTGAAGCGACAGAGGATGTGGACATGAAAGAAGTAGAGAAGAGGAGAAGGAATCTTGAGAGATATAAAAGTGTTCTCAACTCAAAAAGCAATGAAGAAGCTTTGGTGGGTGTACTCTCTTCTTTCCCTTCTAAGCTTCACTCTCATAAATTATAATTATACCCTTTTTAAAATAACTGACTTGGATTTTGTGCTCATATTTCTTAATTTTGTGTTTAGGCTAATTTCGCAAAATGGGAACTGCGTCACGGTCAATTTAGATTTAGGCATCCATGGACACATTATCTTTCCCTGGCTGCATTACTCCGTCAGTGTGCTTACCGGATTGATGCCTTGAACTCATACATCAACTCAGATTTTCAGGTATTGCTTCTTTTTCTATAACTTTGTTTGGTAAATTTGCATTTCAAAAAATATTTGGAATTTTCTTAACCAAAAAAAATTATATTATGGAATTTCTTAATCTATGGTTATACATAGAGGATGTTATACAAATAATATATGTTCTTCTACTAACCTCTATTGATATTTTTTTTCTTTTCTATTAGGTCCCAGTTGACATAAAAAAGAAATTAGAAGAACCATTAAGAAGAATGTGCTCGGAGTCAGGAAAGTCGATAAAAGAAGTCTCTATTGCATTGAAGAAAATGACAAAATCATCTTCTTCCGATATCCATGTCTTAAACTCACAGTCAGCATGCAAAGCTCTTTCAACTCTACTTAAGTCAGGTATCTTGAACGATGTGGAGCCACTACAAATGATCTCATTGCTGACGACAGTCTCTCTGCTCATCGATGTTGTTGATTTAACCGAAAAAATCTCAGAATCCTTTAACGAGCTTGCATCCGCTGCAAGATTTGAGAACAAGATCAAGCCGACCGTGTCATTCAACAAGTCGGATTCTGTAAGCATTGCTCGTGGCAAGCCAGTCAAATCTCAAGATAACGATGATCATGTTGTCACAATTCTAAGTGATGTTGGTACATCAAACAATGTTGATCAGTCGCGTGGAGAGAGTTCAGTGGAGTCTTGTCATCATGTCGCCATAAAGATTGATGGTGATGATGATTCGATCCATGAAAAACATGAAGATGCTGAAATACATGTACATACGAGTTGTGGTGATCAGGCTAATGCTAGTGAGGTTTTGAATAGTAATAATAAGTAAATTAGTAATAACTAACTAATATAGAATTTAGGACTGATCTTGAATATTAAATAAAAGGTGTTTTGAACAATATTTCGTTTTAGACCAGGCCTGATTCGACAGTGTCTTTTTCCTCTGTTTTTCATGGTTTTTATAGTTGATTTATATGTTGACGTTATATTTGGAAAAAACGACACCGGTGTGTTTCTATAAGCTACTATGTGTATGTTTCTTACTCACAAAATATTTTTCTCTCCAGTCGATTTAACTATCTTTAGAGTTTTTTCCACAAACAGTAATTAACTATTAAAACAAAGCCAATGTAAGAAAATAAAAGAGTGTTAACTTTTATTTTGGTAAAAACAATGAAAGTAAAATGTCTCTCAATAGTTTGATATCTCGGTGTTGTTAGTAAGTATGGACTATGGAGAAAGGAGAATTCGAGATGACACATGTGAAATATGTTTTAATCTAAAACGATAAAAAGAAACCTATGTATATTATTATTATAAAAACTATCATAAGTGTTACTATACGTGCGTGTATCCCTCGTTCAATTTTTGAAAACTAAGAAAATTTATGAATCCATATATTTTACATTAACCTATTGAAAACAAGAAATAGTTACTTTTTTCTTTTGATAATTTAAGCATTTTTTCTTCCCTAGGTTTGTTTACGGTTTTGATTCTTGCGGTTTTGCTATGAACGAAGACGAAAGGATGAGGCAAACATACATGAACACCTTCATTCACTTCATGACTACGCGTACGATATAGTCATATAGACAACGTAACTCAGACAACAATACAATAGTGGCTTTTCTATTAGAAAAAAAAAACAAATAATGTCATCATGTGAATTAATTTTAAGCTTAGATGACTTATGGGTTGCGTTTCTTTTGCATTAGATATTTATTTATATTTAAAGCTGAAAGATGGTAATATTTCTTTAAAAAATCTTAGATGGCTCATTAAATTAAGTTATAGTTAAGTATATGCTAGCTAGTCAAATTATTGCAAGAGTGATTTTATAAAGTGGCAGATTCGAATATCCATGAGAATTCTTCTTATATACAAGTTTGTGATATACCATATGCATGCGCTTTGACTTGGAAAGTTTAATTAGTTAAAGAGATTTTATCTCCCAGAAAATTGATTGATAAGTGTGATTACGAGATGTCAATTATTAACCCTACGGAAAATGGTAACGAAGGTGCCCATGGTCTCGAAACTCACGGGCTCGTGCTCGTCTGTCTATCAGTCTATTGCCTTTTTTTATTTCCCAAATGCTTTTTTCAAACCTCTTGAACACAATGGGGGGCAAATTTAAGTGGAGGGGTTAAGTTTAAGTATTAGGTATTTGTCCCCATTATTAAACCTTACCTTATTTGTCTCCATTATTTCTCCCCATTTTTAACCATGGTTTTGTTTGAAAATACGTTTATTCATTCGTTGAAATAATTTTCTCAACAGAAAAATATACTACTAGATATTTCACGGTTTTGTACTAGACTACTAGTGCTGTCACCAGGGCCGGCCCAAAGTTCATGTGGGTCAAATGTGAGTTTGCATTCTTAAACTTTATATATTAAGAAAATTCGGCCTTCAATTTAAAGTATCTTTATTGATAATTTTTTAAAAAAAATATTGAATTCCAAACTTCAATAATGGTTTAAGCTTTTTCTCAAAAAATATTATTAAACTGCACAAAATGATTTGATGATCAACATAATACGCAATAAAATCATTGACTTTGTAGTGAAATAAAATTTGATGATCGTTTCTGATGCATAGTTGCATACATAACTTTTCGATCAGCGGCCTAGGTTAGGAAAGCCTGATACAAGTACACCACTTGGGTTTGAAGTAAGGACTACGATTAGTTTCCATCAACATTGAGGTGACACAAAACCCTCTCAAAATCACTCAGCCGAAACTCAACTACAATAAAAAATTTAACATAGATAAATAATGCAGTCATTGGATTCCAATGGTGTGTCACTGTCAGTCACATTATAAAAGGTGCGGTTAACACTTTAATAGACACCTTCGCTTATCATGAGTGCTCCACTTACGTATCAAAAGCTCTTGAGATGCACCGTGCACCATCACCTTCACACTTTCCGCAATTAATATTATGAATTGTATACTCTCATTCCATAGCTAATTAGGTAAATCTCTTTTCTTATATATTTAAGGACGTTCCAGATCAAAACGTACCACTAAAGAACAAAACACATAAAAGTCTATTGATAACGACTCTAATGGGTATCGCGTCAAGTTGGAATTTTCTATTTGGTAAAAGTTTCCACACCGTACATTCAAAGTGGGAAAAGGACAAAAGGTACACACTTGACTTAACATTTGTGCCCAACATTAAAACGCGTTCAAATTTCTTTTTGACTTTTGTATCCGTTTTCAGGAAATAAAATATTCACTATAATTTACTTTCACTATTTACTATTAGGGACAAAAATAGATGACCTGCAAATATTAGATGGGACAGCACCTGACTATTATTGTCTTAATCACTCTTGTCTGTGTCCAAATCCAATATATATGCATGAGGTCATGTCGATGATACGCTTCCTCAGATGTCTATGATGATTTCATCATATGCTTATGTTGATGCGTCATAAGTCACAACTAACTTCTTAAGTGAAAGATGTCCATAATAAGTGACAAAAAGGGTTAATTTAAGGGTGGTCCGAAAGAAGGCTTAAGATTTGACGGGCAATATGTTTGGTTATTATTCAAGATGTATGAATATGAATCACCAACGTTTACAAATTACAATCATAAAGACAAAACCATATAGTTTCCCAATGCTTTTTTTGGTTGTCACTGCCAAATCTCCACCACCATTGCGCCTTACAGCTCATCCTACACGAATTTTAAGAATCATATGAAATTTTTGTTAACATTTCACTATTTTAGGACAATTAAGATCGTTCAGTACCAAAATGATATAGAAAACCAAATAATAAAACTGTGACTCTGAAACAAAACCAAAAAGACAAAGAATGAAAGAGACAAGTGCTGCTTACATGGTAATCATCCATGTAATCACGTGGATTAGGCTGCAAAATAAAACAATCCATTCCCAAACATATTCAGTCACTTCTATTTTCTCAGATATGACAAACTTAATAGAAGTGATATGGTATCAATGTGTACGTACACGTTTGTAACGCCTCCTCCTGTCTCCATACCGGTGGTCTCTCTCCTTCCGTCTACGTTCTCCTTCTTCCCTTGCTCTCCGAGACTCCTGCAAGGGTCAAATCGTATGGCCAAGCTCGTAAATAAGATATACAGAGGATATTTGAAAACGGAAACAAGAACTTGTTTTGTAAACTACAAACCTCCTCTTCTCTAGCTTTTTTCTCTTTCTCAGCTTCCGCAAGTAACTCCTTCTCAGACTGGTGTTTTGGCCAAGTATATAGCATGTCAGATTACTAATTTGACATTCTTCAATTTATCCCAAAAAGAAGCAAAAGGATATCAAAAGGCTTGGAAATCTACCTCTCTGTGGTGTGTGAAATAGTCATCCACGATGCTTCTTGCATATTGAGGGTCATCAGAGATCAAAATGTTGTCAAAAATTGAACCAGCCTTCACCTGCAATAAGTATTAACATCAACGTAATCATCCATCTAGCTGCACAAGATACCCTTGATCTTTTCTGTTTGTATTTGTTTTGTGTTAATCACAAAAAGTTCTACACTAATAATTTTGCAGGGGTCTATATGTACAAGCTTTGTGAAGATGAACAAATTTGCAGTGACTAATAATAGAAATGCTCATCTATGTCTGGTGATGGAGTGATTGTAAAAGTTAATATTGGACAAAAAGGGATCTAGAATTTACCTGCCATACTTCAATGCCTGCATATCTTATAGGCTTTAGAACGTAAAGATCAGGATCATCTTCAAATTCTGAGGAAAAACAGAGAAACTCAAGCTTAGTATCTACAAGAATAATCCAGCTCAAAACGCAAGTAGGCACTGAAATAGACAGAAACATGCCTGGATTATCAATCCATGGGTTCTTCCATTTTCCCTTGTAGTTCGGGTTCTTGATTCTCTGTAGGAAACAATAATGTTCTGAGAACTTTTAGAAGAAGAATTGGGTAATCTATATAACAAGTGATGACTGTCAAATCAATTACCTTTGGTTTCCAAGCACCTTTGTACTCAGGATTTGGGATCTTTGGGGCTTCCCAGGGACCATTGTCTTCCTCGTCCCAGTCCTCAGGCTAAACAAGAAGAGACAAAGATACAAAACATATAGCTTTAACTCTATCACAAAAACCAATGGGTTCTAAAGAAAGGCCATAATTGCATTGAAAACTGATGTAGCTTTGAGACTACTAGAAACTAACAACCAGTCATTTAAAGAATCCAGTTTGACAGTACATCATACCTCTTTAGCTTTTGGATCTGGAATTTCTCGAGGAATCGAATCGAAACCCTGTTTACAAAAGAAAGGAAGAACTAGTTGCCTGAATCAAACTCAGAATTAGCAGTAAGGGAACTGAATAGGTTCCTCTCTCAGCACAGATAGTATCATCTATATTGCTACCATGTTTACTAAACAAGTTACCTCGGGTTTGACATCGTTGGGGTCATCAATATACTCTCTGTCATCCCAGTCCTCTGGCTGCAAAGAAACAGATTGGTCAAATCTAAGCTAAGTGTAATGATCTCAAATGTTGGTTGAGTAATTCAGATAGCATTTAAGAAAGAGTCTTGGAAACCTTATGATCACCCCAAACCGTTACCTTCTTTGCATTTTTAACCTTAATCTTCCTTGGAGGAAGGATGTCCCAGTCTGTGTACATACTCCCAAATTCTCTCTCTTTATTATCAACAAGAACGCTGTAAGAAGCGTCAGGCCGCAGAATAAACGTGTAGAAATGGTTTAATTTGTCTGTTTCACATTGCAAATCCTTTTTGATTGGATAATTCTGTCCCTGATATGAAACTATAACATGAAGCTTCTTCGTCTGTGTTCCGCATATATCTGGTCCAAACATTAGACTACACATAGAAAAAGAAACACTCATGAGAATCTCCCTCAACCACAACACCATGTGAAGACCCTTATAGTAAAAAGCAGGAACAGTTAATCAATCATTCATTAGTTCGCTGAATCCAAAAACACCATTTGATCATGATCATTGTTCTTCCGACGATGATATCATAGCAGCAACAACAACATAACTAGATCTAGGCAACTTAGCTAAGACTGCATATAACCTGGTAGGAACTGATGATATGTTCATAATAAATAGGCATTAAGGTATAAAGGCAAAAGATTACCTGTAAGGTGTATCGCCACCAAACTGCTTCTGGTTGACATAGCCAGAGAGGAGCTTGATGTAAGCGCCACCACATTCTATGTCTTGTTCAATCTTGACTGAGTACTGGACTACGAGAGTCCTGTTTTTGTTGCTAAACTCTGGAATCTTTGCAGAAATCGCGTAATGCTTGGCATCGTTATACGTTTGAATACCTAAACACATGAAGGAAACCGAAAACAAAAATCTCTTTAAGTTTAACCAAATAAAGATACTACTATTCCTCAAGTTAACTTCAAAGATCAAAGCCAATACACTTGAGAACTTCATGTTTCATCCACAGAACAAAAGACACAACAAGCTGTAGCGACAGTAACATATGAAAGAAGTAAAACGCTAAATCACAGGGAAACGCCTAAATTAAAATCCTCTCATTCTGCAAATTCAACTGGTAGAAGAATAAAAATCAATCAAGGGTCGGCGAAAGGAATAACCTTTATCGTCAGGATCGCCGGGCCATTTGCCGGCGGTGTGCTTAAAGGTTCCGGCTTTACCTTCGTTTCTTTTCCAATCAGATAAGACCCACCTGCTTTTCCATCCACCTTCAACACACATCTCACTAAGTTAATTGCAGAAATCTATAAATAGAAAGTTAAAATGGGAAAATCCAGATTACAATATATCTTATTATCTTATATTAACCAGAAAAGGAAATATTAGGTAATTGACGGATTTGACTTCACTATCCTGTAATCTACAAAGCAAGTTGCAGCTACTTACTGATCACCGATAGCAAAGAAGAAAGAAAGAGTTTATATACTTCACCTTCAAAATGCTCCTCTAAGAAGTTTTCGGAGAAAGCCAATGGAGCAAGACTGATAAAAAATAAGAGGCAGAGGGAGATGGACTTGAGCTTGTTTTGGGGCAATCCCATTTCTCCAGGGATCGATCTCTCTCACTTGCAAGTTGCTATTTGCCTATTGACTGGGAAATCGTGCTGCTTTGGCTATATAGCAAAGATGAGGGCAGAGTGAGAGAGACTTTGACTCACTCTGGTCTCTGGGTGTTTGGTTTAAATTACAATATTACCCCTCTTAACGTCTGGATTCTTCTTCCTTGCTTGCTTCTTCAAAGTCTTTTGCAAGTCGTCGCATGGTGGACTGTGGAATAATCAAAGTCGTTTTTCCTGCGTACTAAATGGGGCAAAATCCACAATGGTCCCAAATCCATAATTGCTTTGTTTTCTTCTTGCACTCATCTTTGCTAATTAAATCCAGTAATCCTGTCTTAAAAACATGTTTATCATTGTTCTTCACTTCTTATCAATAACCAAGACCTCGAAATAAATGTGGGACCGAGATATAGTGAAATCAACCTTACGAAGTGTGTGTGACTCAAATCCTAGAACCCCAGCCAATAGTAATAGGCCATGTCAGAATCTCAGTCATCAGTCCCAGACTCCAGTCCAATGAACACGGAATCTAATTATCCAAAGTAACTCACACGTTAGCAATTAGGACAATTTGCAAAGCGTTCCCTCTCTGTCGCATTCCATCTAATCTTCAATCAGACAATCATATCAATTTATTGTTCATCAATCATGCCTGACAACCGACCGCACACGTACCATTTTATTGTTCTTGTAATAATTTCACTGACTTATAACGGGCCAGCTCAGCCCATTTAGGCTCTGCTCGTTTAGATCTTACCCATTTATGTTGGCCCGTTTAAGTCTTTGTCCCTTAAACTTAAATTTAAATATTTTTTTCCGTAATTTATCATCTGTGCCATGTCAGCATCTTCAACCCACGAAATTTCCCTTGTCCCAGATCTTCCAGTTTCCACTCTGACTACGACATTGTGATTTGTGTGACCTTACTCCTCCATGCTCCACTATTATGCTCAGCTCAGATCAAATCTTCAAACCCCAAAGCCATGGCTACCGATCCCACATCGCTGTCTCCGACTTCTCCGGTGGATACCAGTCGCGTAGACGTCTTCTGGCACGAAGGAATGCTCCGACATGACGCCGTCGAAGGCGTCTTCGACACCGGAATCGACCCAGGATTCCTAGACGTATTGGAGAAACACCCGGAGAACGCCGACCGCATCAGAAACATGGTTTCCATTCTCCAACGCGGTCCCATCGCTCCCCATCTCAATTGGTTTCTCGGCCGTCCCGCCATCGTATCGGAGCTTCTAACGTTTCACACTCCAGGTAAATCATCCATCTGAAGCTTCAAATTAGGTCTTAAAGGAAGAGAATTTATGGAAATTTGTTACTCAATTTCGATATTTTGAGCGAATTCGACTTTGATCTCTCTGAATGATCCTTGTAAACAGAATACATAGACAAACTAGTGGACACAGATAAATCAGGAGAAAGGCGTGAAATCGCCGGTGGTACTTTCTTCAGCCCAGGCTCTTGGGAAGCTGCTCTTCTCGCAGCTGGAACTACTCTATCAGCAATGCAACACATTCTTGAGAGCCATGGCAAGATAGCATACGCTCTGGTACGACCACCGGGCCACCACTCACAGCCTACTCAAGCCGACGGATACTGCTTCCTCAACAACGCCGGTCTTGCAGTGAAGCTGGCATTGGATTCGGGTTCTTGCTCTCGAGTCGCGGTGATTGACATCGATGTGCACTACGGGAATGGCACAGCTGAAGGGTTTTACAGATCTGATAAGGTTCTTACTGTGTCGCTACATATGAACCATGGCTCGTGGGGATCGTCTCACCCGCAGAAAGGGACGGTTGATGAACTTGGTGAAGACTTGGGGTTTGGTTATAACCTTAATGTCCCTTTACCTAACGGCACCGGTGACAAGGGTTATGAATATGCCATGGTAGAGCTTGTGGCTCCTGCAGTTACAAAGTTTGGACCTGACATGGTTGTTCTTGTTGTTGGTCAAGACTCCAGCGCTGTAAGTTCTTTGCCTTTTTGCCCCAAAACATGTGAATTTTAGAATGTCATGGATAGAGCTGTCAAAATGGGCGTCCATGTCCATTTTGGCCCGTCCAATAATGTCCATTTGTTTTATGGACAAAATATTGTCCGTGTCCATTTAGCTCCATGTCCATATTGGACCATGCCCATTATGGCCCATCAAAACTGGGCTGTCCGTGGGCTGTCCATAGACAAAAAATCAATTTTTTTTATTATATATATATTTTTTTTTGAAAATCGATTTTTTTTTTCTGCGCGAGTTAGGTTTAGGACTTTTACGTGAAACCCGAATCCGAATCCGAACTCGACCCGAAAAACCTAAAAAATCGTAAAAAACTTTAAAAACCCAAAAATTCGTAAAAAAACTTTGAAAATCCGAAAAACTCGGAAAAAAATCCGAAACCGAAAAAAAACTTAAACCAAACCCGAACTGAAACTTTAAAAGACCCGGACGATTTATATATCTCTAAACCCGAAAACCTAAAATCCGAAAAATCCGATCAAATCCCGAACCAAAACCCGAAAACTAGGCCTGTCAATCGGGTCAAACCCGCCCCGCCTGACCCGCCCCGCACATATCAATATTTTTTTTGACCCGCTTTGACCCGTCCCGCCAAATTTTGAACATATTTTTTTCGACCCGCATCCGCGCCGTTTAAATCTGCAGATATCCGCGGGTAATCCGCAAATATTAATAAAATAATAAAATTTTAAATTATATATATTTTTAATAAAAAATTACAAATAATTTTTTTTAATAATAAAAATCATTAATATTTATTTTTTAAAAGAGTTTTTAAATATTATTAAATAATTTAAAAATATTTCTGAATATTTTTTTATTTTTTCGATAAATTAAGAACAATTGTTGACTAAATAATAATATTTAAAAAAAATTGAAATTAAAAAAGAAAAAAAAATTGGCGGGTAACCCGCAAACCCGCGGACTAAAATATTACAACCCGCACCCGCATGACCCGCTAATTTTTTTTGAATTTTTCTCGACCCGCACCCGCCCCGCGGCGGGTCAATCGGGGCAGGACCCGCAGTTCGGGTCTGAAATTGACAGGCCTACCGAAAACCCAAGCTTAACCCAGATTATGAAAAATGATTTTTTCTCAAATCAATTTGACCTAGATATTTATGTCCATTGGACAGCCCATGTCCACACGTGTCCGTCCATATTTGTCCATGGGCTAAATTGGACATGCCCAAATTATGTCCATATTGAAAATGGCTTGTCCATGTCCGTCCATTTTTATATGGACATGGGCTCGCCCATGGGCCGATGTTCACTTTGACAGTTCTAGTCATGGAAGCATAAGTAACCATTTTTGCTTTTATGCAGTTTGATCCAAATGGGAGACAAAGCTTGACGATGAATGGATACAGAAGGATTGGAGAGATAATGAGGAGAGTGGCGGAGGAGCAGAGCAATGGAAGGTTGCTTCTGGTGCAAGAAGGAGGGTATCATGTAACATATGCAGCTTACTGCCTCCACGCATTGCTTGAAGGAGTGCTCAAGATGCCGCAACCGCTTTTATCTGATCCCATTGCTTACTATCCTGAAGATGAAGCTATTGCTGTTGATTGTGTTGAATCAATCAGAAGATACCACTCGGAGAATGTTCCATTTCTCAGAGGCACTTGAAGAAGATTGTGTCGGATGAATTGAGTGTTATTTGGTTCCTCGTTGTGTATTGACCTTTTGGGACATCATAGATCTTATTGTCGATTGGCTGAAGAAGAACCACGTTTCTGCAGATTAAGAAGAACACAGCTTGATCACACATTCCAACTTTCTTTTGTTTTACTCAACCAAAAACATTACATTTTTGTATATACAAGTCTTTGTTTTGGACACTAATCACTCCTTTTGTCCGTTCATTTTATTTTGTGATGTTTGTTCTGCTGCAAAACTGAGAAGCTTAAGCTATTTCAAGTCAGTATACCAAACCAATCAACCATCAAGTTTTAGAGAAAATGGCAAAAATTTCTTAGACAATGGTACAGCTAATAATCAATCTCTTAAACGTTTTGATTTCCTATGTATTACACGTGCACTTCTTGTTGCTTTTATGAAAATATATAAACGAAATATTAGGTACCTATAACGCGCTTTGCACATGCATAAATTTTAAGAAATATGATAACAGTGAATTGCATTGAAGAATATGTATATAACAGATATTCAGTTAAAGTGAAAAAAAAAAAAAAAAAAAAAAAAAAAAAAGGGGAGTAAGTAGGAGTATTCATTTGTAAGGTTAGATAGTGTTCTTTAACAAAAAAAAAAGGATCTAGATTGTTACATGAAAAAGGTTACACTGGAGTTTTGTTTGACAAATACTTTTCTAGATAAAATTTAGAAACAAAGATAATAATTATCTTATACAATATAAATTTAGATTTCCATAACTTATTAATGTTGCGGAATTCTTTTCGATTGATGGAGGAGATTGACAGATTGTGCAGATAATGGATCGATCGCTTAGAAAATAAGTAATGAATAAAACAACTCCTATCAATCATTTTTATGACGCCTTCATTTAGTAAATGATACATAATCGTCAAAAAGAAGTCTATCAACTTAAATACATACAGTTCGTTGACTTACATATCTTTCACAAACTACGACTCACATGATGTCATATACGGACACCTTCATTCGGTGAATGATACATCAATCGTCAAAAACAGTTGATCAATTCAGATATATGCATTTATTTGACTAACTTATCTTTCATAAACTACGACTATCAAATGTGGTGAAATAGAAATTTGATGTTATTTGAATAATATTCTAAAAACGATAATGTATTCTTTTTACATGACATGCTATTTATTTTTCAGTTAGCTGTTTTTTCTTTCTCCAAAATTACAATGGGAGAATAGATTCACTTTATAATAGAGAAGTATTTAGTCTAAGTAAACTGTAAGAACCAAAAAAAAAAAAAAACAAAAGAGAACATTGTAGTATAGTCCCCACTTGCCTCTCTTCATCTCCAAACAAACCCCATTAGTCTTTTCAGATTTTTTGTACACTTCCTCCACCCATCTCTCTTTCTCTCTCTATCCTTCTTCCTCTCTTCTGTGCCTGCCCTTTTCTTTAATTTATTCTTCCAAAATCAAATAGTTCCTTCTTTGATCTCACTGGCATCACTAAAATCTTCATATAAAGAGCAACCAAACAGGAAGAGAGATCAACCCACGAGAGAAAAAATGTCTATAGATTTATCTTCTGAGCGTGTTTGCTATGTCCACTGCAACTTCTGCACCACGATTTTAGCGGTGATCTCTCTCTCTCTCTCTTCTCTCTTTCTCTAATTGTTTATATTATAATGGAAATCTTTCTCAAACGAAAGAGTGTTTTCAGAGCTAGATCTCCTTTTGCTAACTTAATTCAAACAGTTATATAAAATATTATCTTCAATCAAACTTGTATAATTGGCGATATATAAACATTTCATGATGAATTTTGCATCCGGGTCTGGATCAACCTTCTTTTTCTGCGTTTATTGATGAAGATATATAGGGGAAGTTTCTTAATTTGAGAAAAATGAGAAACCCTAAATTTCATGTTACTCTAACCCAAAGAAGAAAAAGAAGTTGGGCAACTGAACCATAAACTTTAGTGCTCAAACAGCTCCAGATCAGATATAGGGCTCTATATGTAGGTTTATAGTCTACAACAACAGCCTTTTCTTTCCCTATTTTCACAATTCTAAATTTCTAATTAAAGGGTTTTTTTGTTATTTTTCTCATAGAGGTATTGTCTTTGCGATTTCAGTAAATCCTTCATTTATTTACTCATGTTTTCATAATTCTCAACTTTCAATCGCCATTCATAATTTCTGTAAATGGAATTGGTAGATAGAGCGTTGCTGCCTACATCTATGTGATGCAGGCTCAAAAACTTTCACTTAATTTTTCCAGCTTTATAGTCTGACTTCAGAATTATCTTTTGATATAAATAACTGTAGTATGTGACACATGTATAATATCATATCAATCATAGATCTTTGATCTACAAAGCGTGGTCCATGTAAAAATGTTTACATCACATCACCAGCTGATAATGTTAAAAATTATTTTTTTGGTTCTCCAAAATTTCCTTTTTTCCACAGTAATTTATTACTATATGTGTATAATTTCACAATTTATTTCTAATTTCATTATTTTATCCAGCTTCAGTTTAACGGTTTTAGTGACTATTTAATAAATTCACAGCTCTTCCGTACACACTTGATGTGTGTGTATATACAATTATCTATATTTATATAACATACAAATCATTGACATATGATCTATATAATCAAGGAAAACTGACATGCATTAACTCTGGTAATGTGTTAGTTGTATACAGTGAAAACCAAAAAACGAATCACGAGAAACTCTACTAAACTGATGATTAGTCATGAACGTTATATATACTACATATATAAATAAATGGTGGAGATGTAGCATGAGTCTGATTAGGGACAAAAGCGGCCACATTTAAGAAAAATGTTGAAGGTCTTCTTGCACAAAAGAGGGGGTGTATTGTAGTGGATAGTACTAAAGATTTGTTCTACCCAGTTTGAGCAACAATTTCTTGATCTATACAAAAGCTGCAAACTGTTAAATCATGGCCGATCTTGACCATTTCGGATTGGATCCTCTCTCCCTTTGGCTCTCACATACAAACACATACACATACACATACACAAAAATAAACGAAAGGTTATTATATAAAGATGGTACCATCATATATATATATAAGGACTTTATGGGCTGTGATTAAGGTCACGTCGTTTTCTAACATGACTGTCTTCTCCTTACAAAGCTTCATCAACCATTCTTCTTCTCTTTACTATCTTTTATCATGTTGCCTTGAGGCTTGTGTGTCAGACATAGAAGTCATAAGAACCCACCTATACACAAAAATACACCCCCTCCTTTATTCCATATAGTATATAATTATCTTTTACATATAAAGAAAAAAAAAATATATATATATATATATATATATATATATCATCATCTTTTAATAATTTCAAAAACATTCTACCAATGTTTAAACTACAAATTAAGTATTAAGAAATAAACGAGAAATATTCACCTTCAGTTGATTTATTATAAATTTTCTCAAAATAAACTCAACAAGAGATAATATATGATTTTTTTTATTATGAAAAATGTTAGGTGGATATTTGTTTTTCCAAATCAATAAACTGTTCTGTAATTAACAAAAAAAAAACACTATTCTATCGGATGGAATAGTCAAGATACGTACTATCTCAAGCGCTTTCATTAAGTACTGCATGCACAAAATTATTAAGTTCTATCCTGTTACATTAAAGATTGGTCTAATCAGCCAATCGAGTTATAGTGTCGAATAGTGGTAAACAAGACAATATAACTTATCTATCGTGTATGTAAATGACTTTAAAATAAAAAATCTGGAATATATATAATTCAGTAGATCTTACAAATCATTACATACATGATCAGGTAAGTGTGCCATACGCAAGTTTGTTCACACTTGTGACGGTGAGATGTGGCCATTGTACCAACTTGCTCTCTCTCAACATTGGAGTTTCACTTCATCAAAGCTCATCTCCTCCTATTCATCAAGATCTTCAGGTATCATCTATATATATCCATCAACATTTTTTTTTGTTACCATGTAAGAGTTTTAGCTGATATTGCTTTTGCAATCACGAAGCAGCATAAGCAACACATGACCTCTTCGGTAACAAGGAAAGATTGTGGATCGTCTTCTAGGAGCACCAACCACTTTTCCACCACACTGTCCGAAAATGTCGATCGAGAGGCTCCTAGAATGCCTCCTATTCGCCGTAAGTCACACTTTCTCACACATTTAATAAACAATTATCTGACTAAAATAATCGCCTAAGCTATGTGAGTGAGTGAGTCCATTTTCTTTTTCATGGCAGCGCCGGAGAAAAGGCAACGCGTTCCTTCGGCCTACAACAGATTCATCAAGTAAGCCTTAATTGCAACTAATTTAGTTTCTCAACTCCTTCGCTTAGTTTTAGTAACTATTCATTCGATCTTAATTAGAGAGGAAATCCAAAGGATCAAGGCTGGCAATCCAGAGATCAGCCACCGTGAAGCGTTTAGCACAGCTGCTAAAAATGTAAGCTTCCTAATCTTTATCATTTTCGGTATCAAGTAAGTTAAATAGTCTATGAGAGATAGCTAAATATATTTAATTAGTAAAATGCTTTTCTTAACATTATTTTAAAAGAATTCAAAATAATAAGTGACCAGTAAAACTAATATACGACCGCATGCCCATCCTATAAAGATGTAACATTTATTTTTTTTAGTATCATGTCATTATAGGTGGGGGAAAATCTAGGGTTTGATCACTTTCCCTGTTGTGAGCTAGGATGGATTTTTTGAAATATAGGTGTATAAACCAATAAGATAGTGGATTCAACTATGCAGAATTGGTGGAATGTTTATTACAGCATGTTTTTATAAAATTAATTTTATCTTCTTTTTTTAATCGTGTGGGTAGTGGGCACATTTTCCTCACATTCACTTTGGATTAAAGCTGGATAGCAACAAAAAAGGCAAGCAATTAGAGCAGACTGTTGCAGGCCAAAAGTCTAATGGCTATTACTAAAGCCTTTACATATATACACACACATATATATATCTATATATGTACGCGCGTGTGTTTTATGTTTATCTTTGTACGTACGCATTGATGAACGTGTAAGCAGAGCTGGTGTTGTAAGAGAAGGCGAGGAAGAAGAAGATCATAACCTTACATATATATGTATACATGTATGTATGTCCCTTTCTTTTTTCTTGTGTGGGCTCCATCTATAACTTCGTTTCTAGCTTATATTCTTCTAATAAGTGAAGTCCATTATGGTTTTCACATTTGAACCTAATTATTTAGCAAGAATCTTTTTTACGGAGATTGTAATCTAAATTTCCTCGTTCTGAAAAGGCGTAGCTTTTGTGTGGTCACGAATTTATACAATGAGTGTGTTATATAGACAATAAAATAAGTAGTTTTTGTAACAAGTAAGCGTAGTTTCAACACAAGAAAAACAAAATACGTATACAAGATTTCGTTTTATCGTATATCAATTTCAATTAATTGATAGAATTTCAGATACGAATAAAAAGAGTATGAATGTTGAACTTTTTTCGATTGTAAGGCTTTACTTACATATTTGTGTATGTATATATGTACAGTATATACATAGAGTGGGTAAGAAAAGATTAAATTCCATCTTGGGATGTGATATGGTAACTTTTATGGTGCTGAGATAAGTCTGAAAACTCACTCATTCCAACGAAACATTCTTTACAAAAAGCAAAGGCTCCAATGAACAGTTCAATTGGTTGTTTTTAACAGTTTTCTTTAGAAACATTTATGAGAGATTGATGCTCGTGTCTCCTCTTGTCAGCCACAAAACTCACTACCTGGTTGACTATCATGATTAAAACTAATCACACTTTTCTGTTGCTGATCGTCGGCCTGATTCCAAGACCGATTTTCGTTATTGATATAGATAGAAACAAAAATGAAATAAAAGTTACATAGCTGACAAATGTGAAAAAAATGTAATCGGTATGATTGATTGTTTTCCGTCCTAGAAATAGAATTGTTGGGTGTGTGAGTATATATTAATATTCCTTGTCATGTGAGATTTGACAGTCAACGCATATTCGTTTTTTGAGACTTGTGTAGAATGTGGTCAACATAATAATTATTCGTCTTAACGGATCGAATTCATAAAAAGAAAGTGTATGTGCACTCTTTTACACGCTACTGATTTCCATTACAACAAATAACAACAATCTTGTCTTATTTTATTTTAGTTTAATCTAGTAAACCGTTTTTTAAAGTAGTGCTATAAATACGTTGTGTAGATGTGGTCAACTTTTGCTAAAAGAATGCCACTTTGGAAGAAAAATCATGACTCAAGCATCGACCAAACTGCAATCACTATAGTTTACACGTCGACATCAATTTGCGCTATATTCAAATATACGGGATAATGATAACTTTCTTTTCTATTCTCCAAAATGGACCACGAACTGTGTTTGTTACTATATATGTTTAATGAAAACCATAACTTCATTTTCATTACAATACAATACACCGTCGTTATAGAGATTGTATATAGGATTCTCAATGTTTGTGGCGATGAAGGTTAGAGATGCGGGCCCTCTCGAATGTGGGAAAACAGTATTAGAGACACTTACGTACACCTTCCATCGTGCATGCACACACATACACGGATACACCCAATTAAAAAACAAAAACAGTAATAGAAAAACTTGCATATAATAAGATGTATTAATAGGGAGAAATGAGATTTTTAATGAAGGGTCAAGGAAAAAACAGAATCTGAAACGTCAAATCATGTTAGTTGGGGTCTTTGGATGTCTTTGGCTGTTTGTGCCTCTGATGACGGGTCTTGTCCACACACTTTAATGTTTCCTTTTCTTTTCTTTCTTTTTTTCACTGCCTTTTTCTTCCTTCATTATTATGTTTTTCTTTTCAAATCTTCGTTATTATTAGGGCTTTTGTTTCCTCTTTTCAAATGGTTTGGTTTTGTTTAATTAAGATGAGTTACGTACGACTTTAACCCGTAGAAAGGGGAAATTTATACTCCAAATCAGTTGATGAGAAAAACGTAATTACATGTATAGGGTTGATAATGATTTGTTAAACATTATTGTTAATATGAACTATCAATTTTTCAATTGCTTTGGTCAACTATGCTATTACAATGACTCCATTACGTAAGTGATGTTTACTTTCTTTCTTTTTAGTTGTTGAGACAAACAGTACTAAATCAGTCATTTGAAAAATCTCACGGCACTTTCATCAGAAACAAACTAGAGAATTGTCAAATCAGGGTTTTTTTTTTGTTGGGTTTTCTGCAATTTATGTTTTAAAATCTAAACAAAAATGGCATGGTTGAAAGCAATAAATCAAAATACTAACTCATTAGCACGCTACAAAATTACAATTCGCAAGACATACATATTCGTATTCAAAGATTTATTGTTTGCATCAAAGAGTTCGGATAAAGAGACTTAGCAATCCAGTGGCCCAACTAGAAAGAAATATGCAAAAATCATCAAAAATAAACTAAGCCAAGTCATATACAGCAATGAAAGACATCAATACACTTCCCATCCAAAGCTTCCCATCTTTCTCCTCCACTTCACTTACTGCCTTGACCACTTTCCCTGGATAATCCTCCAACACCTTCAACACTTTCCCATCTTCACTGTACTTCACAGCCAGTGCATGAGGCCAACCTCCTACCTGCAGCAAGTACTGAAACTTGACCGTTATTGGCAGCTTCAGAAAGAACTTCCTCACAGTCGGGTGATGCGCCATCACGTGCGTGAATATGTTGCGGTGGCAGTGGATCGCCACCCAGAAATCACCGGCTTTGTTTGTCCGGATATTGTCTGGGAACCCATGTAACAGAGCTACCACTTCTGATGTTCCGGCTTTTTCCCCTTTCAACCAGTATTTCCGTAATCTGAAATGACAAGACAATCAAGTGGAAGAATCAAATGCTAAGGTAGAGTCACTGAGGAATGAAAGATAAAAGGACTCACCTTCCAATTGATCCTTCACAAAATAAGAAAAAGGAGCCGTCTTTGCCTAGAGATACGCCATTAGGAAACTGGAGATTACTCAAGAGAGTGGTCGTCTCCTTTGTCTTTGCATTGTATTTCAACACCCTCCCTGTGTCTTCCCCGGAGACGATCAAAAGCATGAATTTCCTGAAATGGTTAAAACACAAGTAACAACTGTGCATAAGAAGCTCATCCCAACTTCTTGCAGAGTCTCAAAACAAAACAGAATTAACCATCAAAGGCTCTGAAATGTCAGCTGCAGTCAAATATTGAACTTTGTGCCTCAAACAGATCATTTTTCAATTAATATTACAATGGTTCTAAGTCCTAGCAGTAACTGGAAGATAGAGAAGAACGTCAATTTGTTTGAATGTTAAGTTCTGTGCACAGAGAAGAACGTTAGTCCAAGCAAGATAGAAGCAAAACATGATAAGCAAACAGAGCCAAGCTCCAAGCAAGCCACCAATATCATGAACACTTACAAATACCATAAGAGTAAAAATCAAAACTTTTTTGAAACGTCATTTCACAAGCTTTACTAGACTTCAAGATTAACAAGACACACGAACAGAGTTCAAAAGAAGTAGAATCCATACATACCTGCGTTGGAAAAAAGAGCTGCTATCTGTAAAGTAAACATTTCCTTCGTCATCCACGTCAAGATCATTGGTGAATCTCAACGGCACGCCATCTGCCTCGGTTGTAAGCGAAGTCGCCAAGCCTCCTTCAGGTCCGACTTTCATAATCCCGAAATACGCATCTGCAATGTACAAATCCCCAGTCCTCTTGTCGAACCGAAGACCCAAAGGCCGTCCACAAATGTGTTCATCCTTTAGGTAATCCAACAGTCCTGGCTTTCTATCACACAGCTCTGACCTAACACACATAACACCAGAGCATTTCAAAGGCACCTTAGAGTATTGCTATGCGTCACTTTCACAAGACACGATTGCAATTGAGCTCACAGTGACTCACCGATTGTTGGAAGTATAAGCGAAGTCGGTCCAGCGAGTGCCGTCCCAGAAGAGAATCCGGCCGTCGGCGACGCCGGTGTACGGACCACGGCCAAGAGGATCGAAAGCAATGCTCTCGGGTCCCTGAACCTCGTCTGCGAACCTGATCTCCGAGTTCTGGAGCAGATTGTGGGGGTCTCTCTCCTTGGGAAGCGCCGATAACGGAGGCATGTCAATCTTGTGAGTCTGGAAGTCCGGGAACTGGGAAATGGAGCAGTGATTGAAGGGATCGAGAGCGCAATAGATCGCAAAGAGAAGGAAGATCATCGCGAATTTGCTCATCGCCGTGGTCGCCATTTTTCTGTCTTCTGAGATTTGGAGAGTGAAATTGGTTATGAAGTAGATGCTAGAGACTGCAGAGGAAGTAGTTGACGTTTAGTAGTTAGTAGTTAGTACTACTGATTTTCTAGTTGAGAAAATTTAACGTTTTTTCAATTTCAATGGTTTCTCTTTTATCCTCCGGCGGGCGAGGCCAATGAGAATTGACCACACTGGTTTTCAAAATGAATGCAACATAAATGATGAGACACGTGGATTGTCGGTGGACTCGTTTGATTCGTTCGAGGAAGAGATTTTTTCCGAGCACCGATACGCGCAGCTCCGGAGAAAATCTTCTCGAAAGGAAAGGAGATTTCCGATCACCCGTATACGTCGTCGTTTAACAATTAATCTGTCCCAAAAAAAATTAATTTGAAGACGTGGCGAGATTTTATTAGTGGAGCTAACCTACATGTAGATCAATCAGAAAAAAAAGTGTTTTGTTTTCTAGTGGAACCTCGGAAGAGCGCGAGCAAAGGGGGATTGATTCGATCTGAGAAGGAGAAAGTGCGAAAGAAGCAAAGATGGGAGATTCGAGCTCTCTATCGACGGCGGATTCGCGGTCATTTCTGAGTGGATTCAAGGGGTTCTCGTTCCTGGAAAACTACACGAGGTTCACTAAACGCGACACGCCTCTTCCTTCTTGGTCCTCCTCCGACGTCGACGAGTTCATTGCCTCCGATACAGTCCATGGACCCACCGTATTTCCCTCTCTCTCTCTCTCTCTCTCTCTCTGGTTGGGGTATCTGTGGGTTATTTGGTTGATTTTGTTGTTTTGATCCATTATGAAATGTATACTAATTATTGTGCCTTCATACTTCTGGCTGATTTGCTTTTCCCGTTCGCGTGGAGGTTCTGTTTTGTGATGCAATATTGTTCCTGTTGATGGTGAATCAATGACGAATAGTGTACGATTTTGGCTTCTGAGCTATAGGAATTTATCTAAATCACAGAGCTCTGCTCATGGCTTGACATTAATCCTAACAAAGATTTTGAATTTGAATTTATTAGGCAGGCATTTCCAATAGATTATCATTCCAATCAGTGAAGTTAAACAGACTAGAGCTGATCATGATAAGGGAATATTGTTAACATTGTGTTGATCTTTCCTTTCCAGCTGAAAACTGCTAGGGAGGCTGTGACGTTTGGAGTTGCCGGAACAGTGCTTGGAGCTGTATCTACTGCTGCTATTGCCTGGAAATACTCCAGGAGTCCTCATGGTTAGACATTTTCTCTCTGTGAATTAACCATTTCAATCTCGATAAACCTTCCCTTGTATCTTCAAACGCAACACAAAACATGCTAGTCTGAGAAAATGAATATATACAGGAGTCACACTTTATGTCTCATATTGATACAGCCTGGAAAGTATTACACAATTTCTAATGGGGATTACATATGTTACCAGATACTTATTAAACTGCTGTATTTGAATTGTATTTGAAATTTTGCTGGTGGAAACAGGTGCAGCATTGTCGTTCTTAGGAGGAGGTGTTTTTGGTTGGACCTTTGGGCAAGAAGTGGCGAGCCACACGCTACAGCTCTATAAATTGGACACAATGGCGGCTCAAGTTAAGTTCATGGAATGGTGGGAACGCAAGTCTCAAGGAAGGTCCTGAATCCAAACTCGAAGACGTCTGCTGCTTTCTTGTCCTGACTCCCGATTATCTTGCAATGGTGATAGTTTATCCATTTCCAGACTTTCTCCCTTTGAACCTTTACCTCTTAGAGCTAATGTTATGCTTGTCTCAATAATCCATCAATCATGTCCCAAATGTATTGAAAATTTGAGGAAATTAATTGAAAGAAACAAAATTGTTTCATTTGGATTTGGTGAATATGAAATCTTCCTTTTTTGAGAAAAGAAACAAGTAGTCTTCCAATCAATAACAAATTAAAACAAAAATAATGGGCCATATAAAAGCCCAATTACCCGTGACCAAAACCGACCCGACCCGACTCAACACGAAGTAAAGGATTCATGAGTCGGATCTGAGTGAGGAAAGCTTAGCTCATCTGGCTTGAGACCAAAGAAAACACCTTCGCCGATCGGGTTTTAAGAGCTTAAAGAAGAAGAGAAGAGAAAAAAAAAAAAAAAGAGTAGGAAGAGAAGATGAGTAGCATAGGAACTGGATATGATCTCTCCGTCACGACTTTCTCTCCCGATGGCCGCGTCTTCCAGATCGAGTACGCCTCCAAAGCTGTTGACAACAGTGGGTCAGTTCTTCTCCCTCTTCTTCTTCTTCTTACTCTCTCTTTGATTCAAAAATTTAATTGGTTTTTTTTTTACATGTTTTCGTTTTTGGTTTATTGCTCAGAACGGCTGTTGGAATCAAGTGCAGGGACGGGATTGTAATGGTATGCTTCTTCTCTTCCTCTCTTAGTTTCATCCTGCTTTCCACATTGTATCTCTCGCCAGATTCAGAGATAAATTGAGAACTCTGTCACCTCTATCCATTCCAATTCCTTTTCTCCACCTTGAGATTTCAAATTTTCTTAGTTTTCAATATGCTTTCCCTGAAGGAATTGCCTCAAAGGTTTTAGCTTGAATTGTAGGGTGTGGAGAAGCTTATTGCGTCCAAGATGATGCTACCTGGTTCAAACCGGAGAATCCACTCTGTTTATCGTCATGCTGGCATGGTATGCTCTTCTCCTCTTCTCTTATCTTAGCCCATAGCAAATTAGTTTCCTTGGTTATTTCAACCACCATGATTGTCTTTGCTAGACTCAGACTTATTTATACTTATGTCCCTGGATTTCGTCAGGCTGTTGCTGGACTAGCCGCTGATGGGAGGCAAATTGTTGCACGGGCTAAATCTGAAGCGAGAAGCTATGAGAGGTATCATATCAACAAAAAGCATGTATACAGTGTATTTATTTCAACATTTTTTTGTTGTTGAGATTTCTGGAACATTTTCTGTATGATTGGTATCAGTATATGAGCTCCGAAATCTTCTTAGCTTCTTCCTTCAGTATTTAGGTCTTAATGTGTTGTCATTTTAAAAACGACTGTTTAAGTGCTATCGTAACTTCACACATAGGAGTTTTCTCTTAGGATCAAGGTAGAAAATTTTGTCACAGCTTGGCAGGTTAAGAAAGTTTTAATATTCATGCTCTAAGCATAAGTGAACTCTTATCAGTCGTGAAACTCTATCCCTTTTTTCGTGTGATAATGTAGTGTCTATGGCGATGCTGTACCTGTGAAGGAACTTTCTGAGCGCGTTGCGAGTTACGTACATTTGTGTACCCTCTATTGGTGGCTCAGGTTTGGCCATTCTCCTACCGCTTTAGTTATCGCTCAAGCATTTCTTTTGCCCTATCTTTACTGAATTTCCCTGTGGTATTTCTTAAGGCCCTTTGGCTGTGGGGTCATTCTTGGAGGTTATGACAGAGATGGACCTCAACTATACATGATTGAGCCGTCAGGCATATCTTATGTAAGTTATTTATTCCCATAATACCGTCTTCTGTAAAATAAGTTGCCTTCAAGTCTAACCATAAAATCATTCTGCTCGATTTTTTCATATGGCTTGTTTTCCATACAGAAATATTTTGGTGCAGCAATTGGAAAAGGAAAGCAAGCTGCTAAAACGTAAGTTGTTTCTAAGATATATAGTTGTGTTTGCGTTGTAACATACCTCAGAAAGCTATAAATAAAGCATTTTGCGTATAACTTTGCAGGGAAATAGAGAAGTTGAAACTTTCTGAGATGACATGCAGAGAAGGCGTAATTGAGGTGGCTAAAATGTAAGTGTTGCCTCTCCCCATATCCAATTATGTTTATTGATAGAGAGGTTGAAGCTTTGTTTGATCGAATTGGAAATATTGATTGACTTTGCAGCATTTACAAGCTACACGATGAAGCAAAAGACAAGGCCTTTGAGTTGGAGATGAGTTGGATATGTGAGGAGTCGAAACGAGAGCATCAGAAGGTCCCAGAGGATCTCTTAGAAGAAGCCAAGACAGCTGCTAAAACGGCACTTGAGGAGATGGATGCAGACTAAACCGAGCTTTATGTTTGATTATTATCATTAGACTTATTCGTTGTAAGTCTCTTTATTTCTTGTTTGTATTACACTTTCAACAACTTTAGCACATGCTGTTCAACTTCTTTCAAGGCCCTTTTTATTTCCAAGAATTTGTAAAATTACAGCACCAGAAAAATTGTTGTTAGATAACAAAAGCTTAGAAAGTGATAACTTGTACAACAACACAATTGGCCCTTGGGATTTGAAGAACCAACATGCTCTCCCATTTATCGTATATAACAGATTTCTTCAATAAATAGGCTTTGAAGCCAATATACATACATTCACTCCAGCCGAAAGGTGTCTCACTTATTTGAAAGAATTGAAGAAGCTCACAGTGTCTTCAAGCGCAGCGATGAAGGAGTCAACATCCTCCTTCGTGTTGTAAAAGTAGAGACTGGCTCGTGCACTTGCATTCACTCCAAGATACCGGTGAAGCGGCTGTGCGCAGTGGTGTCCTGACCTTATCGCAACTCCATGCTGCAACATACAAAAGATATGCTTTCAGTTTTCATCCTAGTATGGATGCTTTGAGAACCTCAATGTGTGTATGACATACCTGTTGATCAAGAAAGGTTGCTAAATCAGTTGGGTGCAAGCCCTCCACGTTGAAGGAACAAAGAGCAGCCCTGCGAACACTTTCAGAAGGCTTGGGGCCGTAAATCTTGACATCAGGCAGAGAAGACAGTTTCTCGTACAAATAATTAGCAAGCTCTACCTGGACGACATAAGAAATCATAAGTTACACTCTGTATGTAGTAATTCATTAGGGTCATTGACGTTTCGTCATTGTAGGAAGATCATATCATTACCTCATATTCATGAATTTTGGGCATGCCAATTCCTGACAAGTAATCACATGCTGCTCCAAGGGCAATTGCTTCACCTATTGCAGGTGTTCCAGCTTCGAATCTGGTACCAAAAGTTGAATCTACTTATCTCCAAACTGAAGCGAGAATCTGTAACTAGTATAAGTAGAATCCCAAACCTGGATGGAGGTTCGGCATAAGTTGAATGATCAAGAAATACATCTGAGATCATTTCTCCGCCACCTAAAAGCAAAATGGATAACAAAAGGAAAATTAAATGCGGAACTCAATCCAGACACATCTTTGATCAAACAGATCGGAGGGTTGGTTCCGTGGAACTATATACAATAAGAAGGTTTACCTAAGAATGGAGGCATGGCATGTAGAAGATCACTCTTACCATATAAGAACCCAATGCCTGTAGGTCCACACATCTGAAGCATGGTTATCATTTTTTAACTATAAGCTTGCCACAAGGCTTATTATGTATCTCTGAAAGAAACGTAAACAGCTCCAACCTTGTGGGAAGACGCAACTAGGAAATCAGCATTTAGCTTCTGGACATCAACCACCATGTGGGGTACACTTTGACAAGCATCCACAAGAACTTTCGCTCCAACTTCGTGTGCCCACACCACAATATCTTCGATAGGAAGAGAAGATGCTAAACAGAAAGAAAACAGTGAGATACTTGCCAATTCCCATTTTCTTTCACGGATAATAACACATATACAAGCTGTCATGAAAAAGGAATTTACCAAGAACATTTGATACATGATGAACAGCCACAAGTTTCGTCTTTCGAGAAATCATTTCTCTCATCATGTCTATGTCTGGGGTTTCATCTTCATTCAGCGTCACAAACTTTAGAACTGCTCCAGTCTTTTGAGATACTATTTGCCAAGGAACAATGCAACTATGATGTTCGGCCACTGTAAGTATAACCTGAAAAGCTACCATCAACTTCAAATTCTCATTTTACTATAGGCAAAAAACAAAGAAAGTGTTTTGGATTGAGAAACGAAGGGCACACACCTCGTCTCCTGGTTTGAGGTTAGAAAGACCCCATGAATAAGCTACAAGATTGATGGCTTCAGTTGCATTCCTTGTGAACACAATCTCTCTACTATCCGGAGCATTGATGAAACGAGCTACCTTCTTCCTAGCCAACTCGAATTCATCTGTAGCCTTCGCACTACAATCACACTCAAGCAGAAGAACATTTATCAATCAAATGATCAAATCCTGATAATCGTTAACAGCAGAGAAAATTCAAAACACCTTAAGTAGTGGATTCCTCGGTGAACGTTTGAATTATAGAACTCGTAGTAATTCTGTAAGGCTTCCAATACAGCTGCAGGTTTCTGAGAAGTTGCAGCATTGTCTAAGTACACAAGCTTAGACCCATTCACTTCCTGAAACTCAATTCAAAGGTGAAAATGGTAACTTCAGTAAGAAGTAGCACAATTATCCAATTCGAATGATTCAAAACTACCACAGAGCGCATAATCAGGGATAGTGGAGAAAACCTGGTGTAGAATTCGGAAATCTTTCCGAGCTTGATGGCCGAGAGAGAGGTGTTCGGAATCGGCGGCGATGGTGGCGGAGGAAGAGGCGCCGGAGCTGACGGATAGCGAAAAGGAGCGACGAACGCGGGAGAAGCTCCGGTGACCGGCAGCGATGGAGATGGCATTAGGGGCGAGAGATTTGAAAGACGGGAGTTTCATAGCCACACCTTCCATGGTGGAGACTGGAGAAAGACGACGGAGGAAGAGTGTGGGTTGTTCCAAAATGGCCACCGCTTTGAGACAGCGTGAGTTGGTGATAATGGGCCGTCTTGGGCCTTTTCAGTATTCTCAACAAGATTGTGCTGCTTGGTTAAGGTCCAATCAAACAAGAATACCAATTGAACCGACCAAATCCATCTGTACTTTGGTTTTTGTCGGCATCCATCTGTACTTTGAAAGACTTACAAAATATCTAAATTTCCGAAAAGACAGTTGGAGGATAACTTTTTGAAAGGAGGAATGTGTAGGGAAGCGAATAGAGCGAAAGTAAGGTGAGAGAGAATCACATGGGACATGAAGAGTTCGCATATGATTGGACCGACGACTTTGTATCGTCTCATGTTGCGTCCCAAACATCACAAGACTTGTCCACATGGCACAACCTTTCTTAGTTTTAACTTTTATACAATGAGTAGCTCCCTTACTTTATGTAATAGTCTCATATGCTTTTCTTTAAGATCAATCAAAGAAAAACTTTATAAAGACGATAAAACGGAAGACGAAGAGAGAGGAAGAATAGAGCAACATGAGGTCTTCTTCTTCACCTTGTCTTGTGTTATTCATGTGCCTTATGCTCCTCCTGAGTTTGTCAGCTGGTGCGTACAAGAACTACACCGTGGGAGAGTCCACGGGATGGTTTGATATTCAGGAGCGACCCTCTGCAAACTTTCAGAAATGGGCCGATTCCAAATCCTTTTCTTTGGGTGATTTCCTCAGTAAGTTCTATCCAGATTTTTAGTTTGGTTTTGATTTATTTATTTTGGAAATCAAAAGTATACTAATCTACTAGTAAAAACCAAATTTGATACACAACTCGGTTCAAATGTGAGTGTCTGTGTTGTAGAGAGGAACAACAAAGAATGATAACCGGTTTGTTCGTAAAATGAAATTACAGAAATTAAATTCTGTCAAAAATATTTATTTTTCTATCGTATCGTCGACTGTGGGGATCGAACCCACGGCCACGGGATTAAAAGTCACGCGCTCTACCACTGAGCTAAGTCGGCTTTAATTTCAGTGTCAGTTTTTTGGATTATAGACTAATCACCATTTTCGCAAAATGTATAGTAGTACTGCATAGTTTGAATTAGTTTATCCATATTTAAGTTTCAGCAAAAACTTTTTAATTAATTAATGTTGTTTGTATTCGATGTAGTTTTTAACACAGATAGCAACCATTCGGTGGTGCAGACGTATGATTTCAAAACCTACAAAGAATGTGATTACAACAATGGTGAAGACAATAGTACAATAGAGTGGTCAGCTGCAAATCCTTCATCAACATCTCCAGTTCCGGTCACAGTAAATGTTCCTCTTGTGAAAGAAGGTTTCAATTATTTCTTCTCAGGAAATTATGATGGAGAACAGTGTAAATTTGGACAGCATTTTAAAATAAATGTGACACATGGGCAAGGCCTACCTGCTTTATCATCACCAGATGATGATGATGAGACGGCTCCTGGACCAGGCAAATCCTCTCAGTCCGGTGATGATGATGAGTCTGCTCCAGACACCATCGTTCCCGCCAATTTCGACCATCCTAAAGATATTGAGAGTGATGATGATGATAATATGGTTAAGGGTAGTAAGAGTTCCTCTTCCATCACAAAATCTAATTTGTTTTGTTTAGTTGTTGTTATGGCTTTGCTTGCATCAATTTGATTGAATCTTCTTCTTTTTGTTTACAAACTATATTTTTGTGTGTATAATTAATTAATTATCATTCTGAATTTGAGAGAGCCTAATAATTAATGATCGTCGTCGTCTGAAGCCCAAATAAAGTTTAAGTTGATGCCCATTAGAGATGGTCCATTTATTTATTCTTAGAACGGATCAACGACAATGATTTCAAGCTATAATTTTTGGGTGAATATAAAATTTACGATGGGAAAAACATTTATTAGTCGTGACTATTTTAAAGTTCATGTAAAGTTGACTATCTTTAGCATTGACTATCTTTTTCGTGTTAAGTTGGAATCCATATGAGTTGGTGAAGGTCTTTTTTTCAAACTCCATCTTTTCTTGTAAAGTTGTGTTTTGTTTCCATTTCAAAACAAGACAACCTAAAAATATGCGTTTCCTTTCAATTTTAACTCAAATATAAACTTGATTATTGATAAATGCAAAATATACAAAACCGATAGTACAGTATTTTAAGTTTTTTTTTTCCTTGTCGACATTCGACAATAGTATTTTAAGTTAATAACAAACGTTATAACTCTTCTCATGCTTGTTTCGTCTCTACCACCTATCTTGATTTAAGATTTGTACTTTCCAGATATCAATCAATATACACTATACAGTACGATTTGGTTTTATGACTTTGTTAATGGCATTTGCCTGGACAAACCGTTTTAGTTGTTCGTATCCATTAAATAGCCTTTTTTCAATAAATTTGACAATAGACAGATAATCACATTCCCTACAAACATTGTGCACGTCTTTGTTTAGCTGGAAACAGCTACAAAGCCCCAAGAAAGTACAATAAATTTTAGGATAAGAAAAGTTATTGCCTTGTCTGGCGCTGGGCACATGGGAATACAAAATAAACATAATCGTAATGACACGATTCCCATTTCCCACTTCAGAAAACCAAAAAAAATAAATAGAAAGATTAAATAAATATAATATATTGCCATCGAAGAGAAAAAAATAAAAACAAAAAGATGAAAAAGAAATATACAAGGAGGCGAGGAGGCCGAGACTTTTTGTTTGGAGAGGAAACGAAATGGTGAAGAAGGTGGTGGTTGCAAGCAGAGAGAGGTAGCAGCAGATTTATAGTTTACAAAGGAAGAACCATCATCTTGTGGTTTTTACGGTGTTGTTGTAGTTGTTCCCCAACTTGTTACTGATGGTTTGGAACTCCACTCTGTTCTTCCTCTCACCACTTCGGCTCCATCCTCGAGTCGTAGCAAATGCTGACATTCCACTTCCCCGGCTGTCGCGAGGCTACCGACATCGCAGCCGGAGACCGCGGTGAGGGACTGAAGCACACTGTCCCTACCGCATTCCCTCCGGTACTCCAGAGTCATGCTTTTCAGCTTCTGCCGCTCCATCATCCCCACCGGAGCACTCTCCAGGATCCACCCAATGTACTTTACATTGTTAACATGCTGGTTAACATCTAGGTCACTCCATCGAGGCTGTAAAACGTTCAATCACCAAATCGTAAGAATCTGAGAGAGTTTTACAGGTTTGTTGAGAAACATACAGCAGTAAATGGTAATTACTCACAGTGAGACCAGATCGAACATAGTCAGCAGTCTTGTCATCCAGTTTTGTTAACTTTCTGCTGTCCTCGGCAATGACGGGATCAGAATTCACAAAATAAGGCTCTATTTCCGCTCGAACCTCTTCAGGAATCTTTGATAATCTCCTTGTCAGTTTATTCATCATCACCCACACACTGCAAGAGAATATTCCACAATTACAGAGATGAGTATAACTATTATAACCATGAGTCATGACTCATGAGACCATAAGGATAGTTTGGAGTAAACCAAAAGAAAATCAAACCTTGATGCTCGTGTTAAAGTTTCTCCAGTATTGCAATCCCGAACTAGCCAATCGCGACGCATACCATTCTTTCCAGATTGACTGACCCATGTATCTACTTCCACAACATCTCCCCTGTGAGGCAGATATTGAATAAGCAAATGAATTATTCACTATAATATGCCTGCACAGCATGTAATCCAGCGTGATAAGGTCACTAGGCATATGTGTGCTACACTAGAAACTGAGCATACAACAAGTAGAAAACGGTATTTGATTCTTTGAAAGAAACAAGCAAAGACAACATCATTTTCTCAAACCTGGTAAAAAAAGTGAGAGCATGACCCTTCATATTCAGGTTTATTCAAGAATAACATTCAGGTTTATTCAAGAATAACTCATAAAAAACCTTCAAGTGAAGTTCTAAGGACCAACAATAGCTTACCAAGTAGGATATTTATCAACCACAACTTGCATACGAGTCACAACCCATATCAGATTCTTCTTAAACATCTCAGGTGTAGAGCCAAACCCATCTCCCAGCAATCCAGCAGATTTAACATGGTTTAGCGCCGTTTCCTGTCACAAGCACAAAAGCCAAATCAATGGATGTCAACGAGACCAGTGACAAACACATGACTATGATCATAATCAAGTAGTTACCTGCAAATGATTCATAACCGTTTCTATAGACGCCGAGCGATCAGCACCTATTTCATACGACCTAATGGAGAAATTCTGACGGAAGACAGTGCCATCCTGAACAATCCTCCCTAACCCGAACGGATCCATTAACACGTCAGAACGCCTCGGTTTCCAATCAAGCATCATCCACTGCTTCTCAGCAGCTAAGAAAATCGTTGTGATGGCAGCAAGAAGCATGCTCCAGTCAGGTAACTGGTTGATGAACGTTCTCGGCGCCGGGTGTGACGTCTCGTTCTCGGACTTTAAGATCTCTACTGCACCTGGCAAACCAACTTTCTTCCCGTTAATCTTGGGTGGAGCTTGGGCGTTTGGTTTAACCTTCATTCTGCCGGAGTTTGGTGTGGGGTTGAGTCCAGCGAAATTCGCGGACCCGATTTTGTTGCCCTTTCCATTAGTATCAAGGGAAGGAGACGGTGCAGGAAAGAATGACGACGTAGCTGAGGTGGCCACCATGACGAAGAAGATGAGCTTTCAAAGACACTGTCACCAGAAAAAAAAAAAAAAAAAAAAACCCAACTCAGGAATTGCAGAATCTCAGATTAACAAACAAAAATGCCACAGTGAAAAAGAAGGAACACCTGTAGAAATTCCTCAACACACACAAAACAACAAACACAATTTTCTCTGTAACAATTTAAGAACATATATGCGGCGAATTCTCAGTGAATCGAGCTCGGCCACTGAGCTATATCCGAGATTCTAGGAAAATTAATAGAGATTCTACGAAACTCCAGATTCTCGCAACACAAACTGCAGAAAATTGCCCCGGAGCACTCAAAATCGAGGTGTCATTTCAACCATAACACTCGCAAAAAGAGATTCCCAGATTTATCGGGGAAAGCAAATTGACGCAGGCAGCAAAAAGGAAAAAAAAAAAAAAACGCCAGATCTGAAATCCAAATAACGAAGAACAGAAGCGATAAGAAAGTACAAGTACAGCCGATAAAATCAGGTCGTAGACACCCCCCGGGAAACAAACGTATACACGAATTTTTTTAATAAAATGAAAATTCGAATATCATTATTTCCAGGAAGCAAATCAAATGACCAATCAGAAAACAGCGATGAGGGAGATTGAGAATGGACACGAAGGAAAGGAGACGAAAAAAAAAAGGAAAGAGAAGATCGTACCAGGTGTAGAAATGAAGGAAGAAAATACAAAGGTAACGCCAATTTCTCAGGAGTCTCCTCAGAACCCTAGATTCTCCTTCTTCAGCTGTGCCTCCCTGGCGAATGCTCACGATCTCCTTTCCTTTTCTTTCAGAACTTTTTTTTTCTCAATAATAATTTTTGTGGCAATTCAGTTTTTTGTTTTTTGCGATTCTCGATACTTTTAGTAAAAAATATTAAAATAAATTTTTTGAGTGTAGAGAGAGAGATAGAGAAAAAAGGGCGAGAAAGTCTGTAGGGTGGGTGAGAGAGAAATGTGGATGAGATGGCTTTTTATATATTGGCATTTGCCTTCCTCTCCTCTCTCGTAGTTTCAAAACTACATTTTCTCTTCCATAATTCCCGTTCTGCCCTTTTCTTGTTACGAGATTGTTAACCTAATTAGGCATATTTATTAGTTTTGTATTTCACGTTGGACTAAAAATTCTACACAAATGGCAGCACGCAAAACCTTGATTGATTACTTGCTTGGAAATTTCCTTTGAATTTTGATTTTAACTGAGAATTGCTAATCACACCACCACTCAATCGTATCGTATATTTGTAGAGAAAGAAAAGGACACTTATCAAATATTGTTAGCAGAGAATTGTCAATTTTGGCACCGACGTTGTAAATATTAATATGTGGAAGTGGGCAGAGACAACAAGGTACATGTGCATCAATCTCTTTCTTACTTGTTTTTATTAAAGATGAAAGAAACATCATTTACTCAAAACCTAACGTAGTTCAAAATATGAGAAAACCTAACGTACCTTGCGCCTTGTTCATAATTTTTTTTTTTCGTTGAACCATAAAATTTTGTAGTACAACGTAAGGTCAACGGCCGGACTTAGAGTATCTCACCGGAATCATAATATAAATATTATATAGCAATTATCGACCTGTTTAATTAAAAACTATGCCGAGTAACCAAAGGATTATCTGTGAAAGGATTTTAGTTAAAACGGCCTTAGTTTATTCCTTAATTGACGACATCTTTCCAACTGTAGTCTTTGCCCTGGAATATTAGTTTCTTGAAGAATCTATCTCAGCACGTATGTCTTGAGATATATATGATGCTAATGACTTGGGATGCATCAATATCACATCTTAAGTCAAAGCGAACAAAATCGAAGCTGGTGAGCTGGGATCATCTGTATATGTCAGGCAACTAAGGATGGAATAATGGAACCTTACTTAACATTAAAGAGATTCCATACGAACTAGAAGCATTGACCTTCGGTTATTATCTAATTATGCATCTAGATTATAGTTTCATAAAAGACACAATTAACCATTATTAACACTAGCT